AAAAATTATAATGATGTGCTATTTAGTACCTGGATACAAATCCACATTCAGGTTGCCTACACTGAAAGACCGAAACCAGCTCAATATGAAGAAAACTCAGTCTAAGAAAATAAAGATTTTAGTAGCTCACAGAGCTCAAATTAAACACTTAAATAGGTAACACTAGATATTTCTCATGCTGCCGCCCATTTCTCTATTTATTTTTATCTGCAGGATCAGGCGTGTTAGAGAGGGAGGCCTGGTTAGAATTGCCTCAGCCATCATTCTTGGTTACTTACATCTGTGGTCAATTTTCCACACTTTCTTCCATAAAAGGTAAACGAGGCACTGTACTTGCAACAGGATAATCTAAACAATATGAACAATGTTACTGTTAAAGACCATCTGGCTCATCAAGCGCAGCCCCAGACTTTTAACTCCTTGAATAAAGTGTGGAACCCCACAGCGGATTTTTTTTTTTTTTTATCCAAAAATCATTTTAAAGCACTGGAAGTAGAGCTCCCGGAGATACGTGGGATCTGGAGCGTAAAGAAATTCGTTTTCTTATTTCACCCTTTCTGTATCCTACATCTGCCGCAATCCAAGCTGGAGACAGGCATTCAGACGTCACATTTCTCTACAAAAAGCCCTCTAAAATGCTCTGCAAGAAGCTGTGTGCCAGCTGTACGCGCAGGGCTGCGTTTCCGAGGGGAGACAGGAGGGTTAAGTATTTCACAACTCAACCTAACGCTGGATCCCGCCACTTCTTAAAAGGTAACAGAAGTCAAAGAAGGGTCACCAGAATGGCAGGAAAACACGTGGGTGGGGTGAGGGCGAACAGTACCAAAGAAGGCTTTTAATTGTGCGCAACCGCTTATCTGGTAGATAAATTAACAAGCGGCCGGTCCCTGGGAGGAAAACACGTCGGAACAAGGCTGGAACAAAACTCGCTGGCAGAAGGCGAGCCGGCAGGGCGGACAGGGAGTGCTGGGCAAGGCCGAGGCGCAGAGCAGGGCCGTGAAACACACACACACACAGGCAGCACCCACTGCGGAGGGGTTTCCTTCTGCTCCTGGAGGCCTGCGTAGCACAGCCGCTGTGGGCACGGAGGAGTTAAATATCCTCACGCATTTAAAGGCCTACAGGCTCCAAAATGCGCTTTTTCCAACTGAGCAACAGCTGGAATTAAATGTTGTCGGGCTTCGGTCAGTCTTCTGTCTGCTGCAACTCCACAAGTGCTGTGCACACAGCGGGTTAACGGCCCCGCTGGCTGGGCTGTAACAGAGGGCAGGGCTTTGCTTCTCCAGAGGGCTTTTTCTTCTCTCCGAAGTACTTTTAATGGCATTATTAAAAAATAAAAATAAATAAATAAATAAAAAATACCCCACAACTGTTCTCGTGAAATACTTCAATGCTTCTTATTTAATTTCTAAAAATATTTTTGGAAAGCAAAGCAAATGAATTAGAGCATAGTTGGAGCTTTTCTTGTAGAGTAAACAACACGAGAATTAATTTTCACAATCATTGGTTCCTTGCTTTAAACCCTACATTTTGCTTTAACCAGAAACATCACCCAAGCTGGTTTCTAGGTAAAAGTGCCCACGAGTGAACCTTCCCCTATAGCAGAAGTTCTCCAGCCACTCCCCAGAATGTGCCCACAGACTTTCTTCACACGTCTGCTCTTATTTGGATCTAGTCCTCACTTAAGCTAGCTTACTGTAAGACCCCTGCACTGTATGCTGACATACATATGCTAAATTCTTAGCTTAGAAAATGTTTTTAAGATGCAATCATGGCACTTTTTTATTTTCAAAGAAATCTAATTTAAAATATACTCATGACTCATCATTAAAAAAAAAGGAGCTTTGTTACAGTAACCAAGATAGGTCAGGCAGTTCTATGATTAATAGGGTCAAAAAGCTACAATTCATTTTTAAATCATCAGTTGCTTGCACTGTAACAATTAACCCTATCTGGTGAGTTCTGCCTGCACACCAGCCAAAAGTGTAATATTTCGCAGAGAAGGAACATCATACAGTGAAACAGTAACTCCAGTGCCCTTCCATGCATGCTTTTCTCAAAGCCCCTTCAAAAAAAAAAAAGTAAAAAATTTATCTGAATTCAAGTTCTTTTGTGCACAACTTTTCCAAAACAAATGGAAAGCAGTCATACCCAAATGGCTGTTTTCCTGCCAAAGCATCCTAGTCTCCAGCGTCTTTCATCACATTCACACTTAACCCATAACATTTTTCAGCTAAAAAGCTCTTTGAAAAGAAATTCTCATCGTCACTCCGTTTTGCGTAGCTAGAAACTGAGGCACACAAGTATTCAAATCTGATGCAGGAACCTGTGCCACCACATGAGCACTGCTTTCATCATACCTTGTTCCCAAACTTGTTGCTTGTTCTCACTCCCATGTTATCATCCATCATCTCTTGCACAAACATTCACAGGCCCTTATGGCAAATTACGTCAGGGAAGAGCCTCAGATTAAAAGTAACCAATCACTACCAAAGGTTAGTCCTAACTCACATCAGTTCTCTGAGCTCGGATGTTCTGCAATCACATGAACGCTTGGGATGGCCTAACACCCCAGGAATTACAACGAGAGCAGGATTCCGTCCTTCACTCCGCTTGTAGGGCTAATGGAACTACAGCAGAAGTGCTCAAACTGAAGACAAAGGTGGTCCTGCTTTCTAATGCCTTGCTGTGCACACAAAATCACCGCGTCATCATTCACTAGAGAAGGTGAACAGGGGATACTCAGTCAAAAAGCAGTATTCCAATAAATAAATAAACACACGCAATTTACATTAAGGGATGGATCTCTAAAAAGCTCATGGCAAAACTGAGAAACTCCCCACGCAACCCACTGAAGGTGTCAACAACTCCATGCAGTCAGCTGCCAAACGGGAAAATTCACCCAGGATAGGTATTTGGAGAAAGTCCGGTAGATGTGCATGCAAGGACTTGCACAAGACAAATTGTTGGAGGCTGGTAAAGCATTCTGAAGAGCCACACTCTTCTCAAACTCCTCTCCAGCTGCACATCCCTGGTGTGTCAGTGCTATGCTGCTCTGGCCTGTGCTAACCCATCTTTACGTCTCTCCGTCTTAACTAGAGAGAGACAGTTGCTACTTAAAAATAAGCTAATTAAGTGAAATCTTAAACTAATGTATACAATCCAGATTTAACATTTCTATTTAGATGGCAGATGTGAGAAAATAATTATACCCATGAGCAACTGTGAATGAACGATGAGAGACATCAACTACCTTCAGTTCTGCATGAGGCCTAAAACCCACAGAGACTCTTCAGCTCAGAAACACTCATGCGGTGCCACTGCTGATGCCAGATGGAGAACAGGACTCTCTCTGCAAGAGCAAAGAACTGAAGATTCACCAGAAGACCATTCATGTCCTCAGCCACTCTCTATGGGCACAGGCTTCAAGTACAATAGCTCACATTAAAGAAATCTAAGCCACATACACATGCACGTACACTTCATTTCTTCTTGAATTCCTACAAAGAGTCAGATTCATTTGGGGCCCAGGTACTAAGTAGAAGTCAAAAGTAGTGCTGCATAAATACGCTCTGAGCACATGATTTGTCCAAACTAGAAACAATCATTTCTTTCTCTCTTTCCTCCTAACGTTTGATTTCAATAAGTATATCAGAATCTTTGCGCATAGCAAGTAAACAACCTGTCTCCTTTAAGAGAGAATGAAGCTAACAAAGCAGCAATCTCCTTCTTTTCTGGAGAATGAAGTTACAAAAAACGGTAGTGGCATTTTGCAGATGAAATCCCTGAAAGCAGAAACTGCACATTCTGACCCACATGCTGCAGTAAAATAAATAAGTAAATGAAAATGCTTGAGCTGCTGCTTCTTCTGCAAAGGTTTCAGTGATGGCAACAAGACTGCACGAGGATGCTTTTAAAGCCTGGTAAACTAACTGTAAGACAAGGGGAACTCTGCTAAACATAGACTCCACTACAGTGTCTGGCTGAAGCAACTGAAGAAACTGCTGTAGCTGATTGTGCTGTCTCTGGGCCTTGGCATTCATTATTTAAGTTCAGTGGAAACTGTTCAGCCTTGAAGTAGACTGACTCATCCACTTTAAATTTCAATTTCCTGCAAACGATCCATTAGTTTCTGGCAAGTTTCACACTGCACTATACTTCCATGAAAAGATCAGTTCCCAAACTCTGGTTTCTACAATGCTTTTTGTAATAGAGGTTTATTAAACACAGAAACTGGAGTTACTCCTGCCCTTAAAAAACAGACTATGATTCTCACCTGACAATTTCCAACACGTGGCTACCAAGGGTAAATGAATGGCCCAGTTCCTAAACATTCTCTTCAGATGTACTTGTTGGGACAAGTCCTACTGGGCTCCACTACACTCCAAATGCAACGGGCATTTATATGAAAACAGAAGTTGCTGTTAAGATGCATAGGGTTAAGTTTCACCCAACCAGGAAAATATACAAATATTTGCACAATACCTGCAATTCTCCAAAAAGTACACTCTTACACTTTTCAGGGTTTTCCAAAGGCTGAAGCAAGCCACAAGTAAGTGTTACTTCCATCATTTGCAACTACAATTGTTTTTTAAATTTACTATTTCCCTTCAAGTATTTTGTCACCAAGCAGTATCTGAAATACGTCAATAACACAAAATGGAAAATAACTGTGGTGTCTTCAGTGCCACCATTCAGTAACTGTAGATGGATGTGGTCTAGCAAATAGTGATTAGAAAAATTCTTTGTCTTATGTCCCCGGGATATAATTATTTAGAAATGAAAAAGAGAGCAAATCATTAACACCCATATATGTGAAGAAAACTTTCAACGTGCTTGGTAGGATTCCAAACCCATATATGCTCCAGTTCAGCTAATACAGTAGAAAGGCTTTTTGCCCTAAAACTATTTTATTGCATTTGTGCATTTTGCAGAGTGTGGGGCTGTGTTCATCCATGCTCTGAGAATGCTACAGCAAACAATAGCAGAGATTTGCTCACCTGAGCATACCCTATATGGATCCATAAATGGCAATCATGAACAGGTTGCAGTTTTCACGTTCTTTCAGTTCCCCAGTCTTCTCTCCTGGGACTGTCAGCAAGAACAGATAATTAACTGAGATCTGTGAGATATTCTAACTCTTCACAAGAACTGTCCTGATCTCATCCACATAATTTTACTTAAGTGATGCAGCCATCAAATGGTAATGGATTTTTTGGCCGCTATGGGAAAGTTCAGATGTGACAATCTAGGCAAGATGGTCTAGTAGCAAGAAAGTTTTACATAATATAAGAAAGCTCCAAAAAGTTTTGAAAGGCTTGCTTTTATGTGTTTTAAAATATCCTGCATTAGACTAAGAAACATCTGTGGGAACTTACGATATCCAGATACCTAAAAAGATACTTACGTATTTGGGTGTTGAAAAGACAGTTATCAGCCCTACAGGTGCCTGAATCCTAGCTGGTAAAGTTCACTGAATACCTAGTTCTCTAGTGCTGGACTTGAAAACAGCTGCTCAAATTCAGACAGACACAAACCTTATTCAGAAGACAGGTGCTTGTCTGCTGCCCCTCTATCCCACACTAAACTTTGCAGAAGTATATCCCCTGTAAGCAAGATATGCAAAGATGACATATCAAAGTTAAAATACTTATCACCTACTGCAGACTTTCCTTACTTTCTGCAAGCAAGGTGGCATTGGATGTTTCAGAGTAATGCTATCTTTCTTTATTTTTCTGCTATGGATGTTACTTTAGACCAGAAAGAAGTCTCTACTGCCTTGCTGAAATCACAGGGAAGCACTCCCAAAGACCGGTTAAACACTCGAGCAATTAGCATAACTTAGCCCCTTTTTTCTGAGTTTCTGGTTTTCTTTTTTTTAATCAAATTTAATTACCATATTTTGAAGAGGTGTCATTTCTTGTAGCTACACTTAAAGCTCAGCATACCTGACAAAACAATTTCACTCACTCTTCTCCATTTTCAAGCCCTGTAACAGTTTGTACCTGATGCAGACCTTAAGCTCAGTGCACTCGGGCTTGATCCATATCTGTAACTCTTTAAGCACATGAATGGTTTCTTGACTCCTCCACTTGACTTGTCTGTTTGCATGATTATTGTTAAGCAAGGAATTAAGAACTCTGTCAGACTGATCACAAGCACTTAGCATCTGAACACTATGTAATTTTACTCAGTTGAATGAGAAAACTTTACCCCAAATTTCATTTTTATGTAGCTGCCTACATAGAGGTCTACTTTCCTGATGGAAGAATAAAATACAAGCATTCTTATCTCTCTGGGATTTATTCCTGAAATTGGAGACCAATGGTTTGAACTGGGGAACTGAATGAAGCAAAGCTGTCTGCTAGTCATCTAGGGGTTAAGCTAATTTGTTAGTGCTCAAGCTATTTCTTGCCATCAGCCACTGTGGATCCACTCTTTAAATTCTGAAAAGAACACCAACCTTTAATCTGTGGTATTAGTTCCTTTAACAAAATGGAAGATTATGCCTTTTTCCCCACAAGCCTTCATGCAAAGCTTAGCTCTCTTCCATCTGGTCTGGCTAATTAAATGTAAGTTAACATTAAGTTAAGAGCCAGCTTCAGCCCACAGACCTTCTATTCTGTGACTGCAGATTTATTAATTGGCCCAACTATCCAAGAATTTAGTTCCAACTTTTGATTACTTCTATTTTCTTTACGCTCTCGTGAAAACAGGGCGATATTTCTGAAACCACATTTGCATCATTTCAGCTCAGAAACACCAAAAAAATACACTAATAAGATTCTGAACAGCCATAATACTGTCAGTTTTTTCCTTCTGTATTTGACGTGTTAATAAAGGATCGCAGTAAAGTGTGAAGGATCTGCCTATTATGCACAAGATGTGGGCTTGCTGGAGCTAGACGCTTCTAAGCTGGCTGTGACCCACAATCTGGCCCTATATGTACTAGGACCAGGGCTAGTTGTTGCATTCCTTATTCAGGCAAAGCTTTCTTTGACCTTAAGGGGTGTCAGTCTGAATGAAGAACAAGGGGATTAGATCTGGGGAGTTACTCATGGTACTCCTGCCCCCAGATAACTTCTGACAAAATCAGTTTGGTGCAGTTTGGAAAACTGCAGACATAAGTACCTAGCAATTCCACGATGGGCTTTGTGCTGTCTTGTTCTTAATACCAGCTGCAGGTATAGCAGTAATTCTGGCTCATCTATTTTGCTCTCTTAAAGTCAAAGAGGAAAACTACATGCTTTTAGACTTATAACAACTAATGTGGCAGATTCAGATTTTTGACTCTAACAGCTGATATTTTTTCAAGAGAGATTATTAGGAAGTAAAACATCTTAGATCTCTTAACCCAATCCCCCTCTTTTTCAATAGGGGTAAGGAGCTAATTATGAAACAGCATTTCTTTAGATATCTATCCAATGTAATGCCTGCTGCAGCAGTATGTAAAGCAAATTTAAAAAAAAAAGTACATCCTACAAATTTTCTGCCTAATTCACACACACACACAAAAATTAAGTACCAAGCGAGCTGGTTTTTATATGTGTATATATAGAGAAGTTCAGTTTTATATCAAGGCGTGCAAAAGAGAATTCAAAAACAAGGTTAAAAAAAAAAGAAGCAAAATCAAAGACAGATTAGGAAAGGGAAGCACTGCTTTGTTTCCACCTTGCAAGCTGCAGATTGGCACGTGAGCACATCAAGTCAATGAATCTTTCCCGCCTCAGTTTCTCCAGAGACAGTAGGGATAAAACAAGTATTTACTTCTTCCTGACGAGCAAAAATCCCTGCATACTCAGAAAGGCGTGGATGAAAGCACTCTGTAAGGAGGGGCTGTCAGCAATTACTGTTATGTTGGAAATAGAAATGGCAAAATCATTCACTTTTAAGAGACTCTGAAAACAAAAACGCTGCTGTTGCAGACTGCAGGCCGGCAAGCAACTCAAGATATTACGTCGATCCTCTAATCCTGCTTCTCCCTCACCCAGCAGGTTCTTAGTGCTTTTCTCACGAAGCTCCGACTCCGCAGCTCAGCACGGGGATGAGGTGCCGACGCGGAGCTATTCCCTGGACTCAGACAAAGCAACGTAGCTCACGGCGTCTGACAAAACCCGCTGGGAGCAGCAGTTCGAGAACGACACACGAGAAGCGAAGGGCGGCCCGGGCTCCCGCGGCGGCGGCGGCGGCTTCCCCCGGCAGCTGGAGCCACCTTGTGCCCCGCGGCGCACCTGCACCCAGCGCCGGGGGAGCGGGGCGGCACGGCAGCACGGGCGGCCCGAGCCGAGCCGCCTCCTGAGCTGCGACGGAGCGCTGCCGGCGGCCGGGGAGCTCCGACTTGACACAACCGCGGCCCTCAACTGCGTCGTTCCAACAAAACCGCTCGGGCCTCTTCCCATCCTTCTCCCTCGTGCACCCCGGCGACAAGTTAGGCGTATCATCTTTTGGATCCGGCGCTGCAATACGTTATGCTGCATTTATTCCGAGCGCCCTGACATTATCCTTATCTTCTTTTGTGCCCAGCAGCCACTGCAGCTCCTATAATGTCGTTATTGTAATGAAGGACAATCTGAACCATTGACAGCGCTGCCTCGTTTGCTCTAGAATTCCCCGTGCACTAGTGTTCTTCTTAACCAGTACCTCACTACTCATAGTTTGCTGCTTTAAAACTGCCTACCCTTATGAGAAAAAAAAGTTATTAGGCCCCAGCCTGACTCGATGGGCTAAGAAGAAAGTCAGCAAGAAAAAAATAAATGGAAGGCAGTGTGCTGGCAAAGTGTTTTGCCTTTCTTTACAGACATTGAAAATGGATTCACACCCTGCCAACCTATTCAGGCCGTTACCCAGGTGAGGAAGCTTATTTTGGCTTGCTTCAAAAGGGCCACCTGTACAGATACAAAAGAAAACGTCTCCCTCTTCTCCCAGTAAATGCACCCAAAGTACTTCTCCGCCTCAACTCTCCCTTTCATTAATCCAGCTCACAGTTGGATAAGTAGGGCATGGCAATTCAGACATCCTTGTCTGGAAATTCTGACCTTAACACCCACGTTTGCAGCACACGCAGTCTTGAGGCTGTCTATAGTCTTGTCTGTCTTGCGAACAACGAAGCCTGCTTGTTTGCTGAGCCACGTGGCCCGCAATACTCCCACAACTGCTTAGCACCCAAGCCTCAGCCTGCCCATGATTCCAGGAAAACAAGCCCTCCTGAGCTCTGAGTTCCTGCACCCTCTCTCAATTCCCTTTCTCCAAGTGGCATTCCATAGGTTCACCACTAGTGAAGGTTAAGCTCACCCAGCGCCAGCTCAGTGCCACAGGCCGCTTGCTCTGCCAGAGCGTGCAACAGGAAAGGCACCACCAGATCTACATGGAGCACAATCAGAGGAGCCAAAAGGACTCGCCAATGACTCCAGCTACCAAGAATGACACGCAGAAATATTCCAGGAATTTTCTTTTGCAAAAATAATCAAGAAAAACAAGATCAACAAGGTGTTACCCAATAATGGTAAACTATGCACTGGTTAATACATACACGAATCAGAAATCACGAGGAGAAATGAAAAGTCTCGAAGAACAGCAGTATTGCAAGATCATGACCAGTGTGCTACCTTGAATTCTGTATTAAATTCACATAAATAAGAATGTCTTACAGCATCACGTGCAGTTATTTCAGACAGGCTTCTACAAAACAAGCAGCAGCACATTTGGGAGACTGCAGAGTCTTGTTACTTAACCCTGCCAATCTTCAATACTGACTAAGGCCATCACTTGGTTGAACAGAGGCACAGTGCAGAGCCAGGTGCAGGATTAGGGGGAACAGATGGTGGCTAATCTTCCTAATACAGCTCTGCCAATACAACTCAGTAACTCGCTCCTGACCACTCACATTCCCATTTCTCTCTTTTTAATTTATTTTTTTTCCTGGTCCTTGGTTTCCTCTGGCCTGAGCACAGGTTGCCAAGGGATAGCTGCATGGAAGGCTAGGGATCCACACAGGGCTGCTGCTTTGATTTTGCTTTTGGTCCAAGACATTTTTTGTTTGTGTCTCAGCCTGGTCACCAAAATGAATGAACTCACTGGCTCACTACTCAGCACACATGCACACACACCCAGACCCACGAGGGCTAAGCATATTAAAACCAAGTCATGTTATCTATTAATAAGTATTAACACACCAAACATAAGCTGTGCGACAACACAAATACAGACCAAGGTTCCAAGTGTCCCCTCATCAAGCAGCACAGTGAAGAGCAGCAGGTTAAAAAGCTTCTACTCCCTCGTACTCAAAGAAGCACCAGATCTGCCATGAGTGGAGAAGGAAGGCATCAGGAACACAGACAGCACAAATAAAGTCCCACCCCAGCCTGCACTGGAAGAACTGTATGTGAAACAGCAAAGTACCACAAAATATCCTGTTTTCCAGCTCCTCCTCTCTCATACAAAGTGGCATCACACTGCTTCCAGCACAGCACTGACTGTACCTAGCATGGTGTCAGCTGTCCTGTCAACATGCATCTCTTTCTGGTTTTGCTTGCATTTTAGTTAAGAGCTTATCATGAGTAACACAAGTCAACATCACCACGCGAGGAACTGGTGTGAGGAGGAAGAGAACAGAACCTGTAAATGGGAAAGCACCAATATTTAAACAACGCCTCAACTACTGCTTTTGTAGAACTTCTCTTTATAAAGAACTGTGCTTCTGCAACTAATGACTTCACCTCCAGCAGCATCAGCATTTTGCTGAAGAAGACTGCAAAACCACGGATTAAGAAGAAGCATTTGATTGCAGTTACAGTAAAGTAACAACAGAACCCGCTGTCCTTACCTCAATGTCAAAGTCATAAAGTCCCACATTCAACTATTCATTCTCCATGGGATGTGGCTTAATGGTTGCAGAAGACATAAAAGAGGGGGAAAAAAAAAAGATATATCCCAGATATTCAGTTCAAGGGACCCTCATAGAAGTACAGACTGACACTTAGAGGAAGCTGGGTTTAGGCTGGAGGTTTCCAAGGTTTAGAACCTCTCAAACTAACTAAACCCAGAGAGAACTTCTCTCTGGCTAGAGTCTTGGACTCTTCTCTTACCTTCAGGACAGATTCCTTAAATGCTAAGGAAAATACTACAAACCTACAACTACAGATCTTCTTAATGGCATGCTCACTTTACTGAGGATGAAAGTGAGGACATCTTTATTGTAGTTCTACAGCTTCACTTTGTTATAGTTATCTTGATGTTGAAGGCTGAATGAATATTTCTGTGCACGCCTGGTATTGGAGATAGTATCTTTTAAATCTGGAGATGTAAACAAAAAGTTAAAATGGAGATAAAGGCACATCAGGCTGAAATGGTATCCAGCTAGCTCTCTTCTCACCACAGTTCTGTCCTGTAATTTGGAAGCACTGGAAGCTTTTCACCTGGTTGTTTAATGCTGATTTTACTTCACCACTTTCATCTTTTTTTTTTTTTTTTTTATCTTTCATCTAGATAATTGGTATGCATCTAGTCAACTACAGCAGAGACCAGAAAGAACTGTCAAAAGATGCTGTCCCCACACCTTCACCATACCTGGCCAACTAGAGGCACGAGCTTGTTGAACAGGAGCACTCCACCTTGGGATGGTCTCCAGAGGTCCCCCTCCAATATCCACTGTTCAGTGAACCTGCACCCAAGCCTGCCAGTCTCTATGACATCACATTCCAACTGGCAGCTTGTGGCCCACCTCTGTCCCTTAACCTACTGACTACAGATTTAGTTTTATCCTGTATGAAACCTAGAGAATTGCTGAGAATTAAGAAACCACTGAAATGGGGAAAATACAGGAAACACAAGGCATGTTTCTGTAGCAGCTATCTTACCCACATAATGTAAGTCAAATGCAAATATAGTGGCTTGATGGCCAGGTGCAGGCATTCAGAGATCAACCAAGTTACTGGCCATCCTGGGTCAGCACAGCCCAGACCCTGGCACCTGCCAGAAATGAGTTCTGAACACCAAAACAGGATGAGGCAAAATTCTTCCCTTGGCAAACCTTCCTGATGTTCAGGGATTTTGTGACCAAAAATCTGGTGAAAACAAAAACATTTTTTAGAATAACTTAGGAATCAGCTGTGACATCTGAAATTCAGAAATGCAGTCAGAAGCAAGATTTTCACATCTTTGAAACTCCTGAAGCCTATGAAGCCAAACAAACAAAAAGATCCCACAAAAGCCAAGTTTCCTGAATCCAAAACCAAAGAGAGAGGGAATTAGGTAAAACAAAACATTGCAATGACATCACGACAAGTTCTAGTAAAACTGAAACGTCAGAAATATTAAAATGCAGATTAATAGGAGGAAAAAAGCTATAAAAATATGCAAGGCATACAGATGAAGAACTCTGGGTCATAAATTACTGCGCATGGGGGCTATTGCCACAGTTTGTGAAAGTATAGTGCCTGAATTAATACACGGCCCTTGACTTAGTGTATAAGCAGTAACAAACACCCAACAGCAAATTGTTCAGTGAATCACAGTGCTGATTCAGTTCCTGCTGGTTGCAGAGGGCACAGCTGCAGAGGGAGGAGGCCGGCAGGCAGGAGAGAGGCAGACCCAAAAGCCACAGCAGTTGCTCCAGTACTTGTGCACACCCAGCAGAGCAGGGGACACCAGCTTACAGCGTGCCAGTGCTGCCACTTAATCCAGGCCCAAGAGCCTGTCGGGAGGGCTACTGCCATCACAACAAAAGCAACAGTTGAGTTTTTTTGTTTACGCTGACAGAAGTGTTTCAGAGGCACTGAAACACTAGCAATCCTTTCAACCCTCAGAGCAGAGGACCCCATCCAGATATCCTGAGATCCAGTTTCAAAGGATTGAAAACAAAAAAACACCGCTCTCCTCCTGATTAGTTTTTTCTTTACTTCTTTCCTAAGCCCTGCCTTGTGCTTAGAAAGGCTTGCAGCGACAGAATGACAACGAAGAAGCAGGTGAGCCTTCCCTCTGCTTTTCTTTCCACTTTCCCTGTTCTTCCCACTGAGCAGAAGTATTCCATCTGCTTTCTGGGACTGGCACCAAGGCAGTATTTCTCCAGGGGCAGAGGGGCAGGCTGTGCCCAGCACCAGCTGCACAGCTGGCTGTGATGCCCTGCCAGTACACTGGGGACATGTGAACGTGGTATGCAGCAGCAGCAGGGAAAGAAGATTATGCACACATTTCAGTTGTTATGCACTGAGGTTGGAGGTAGAACACATGAAGGCAGACATCAAAGCAACAGCTATCCTGATGGTGCAGGAAAGCCCAGCGCTGATGTGCCGACATGGTACAAACAGAAAGCAGAGATAGAAGGGTGCTGATAAAGCATGACATTTTCTCCTCAAAGGAAATACAGTGTGTGCCTGCAAGGCACCAGGACGGAATGAGCACACAGAAGCCCATTTTCATTTGTGCTACATGTTACCAGTGGATATTAGCAAGCGTAACAGTAGAGTTGACAGTTCTTCTTCCAATCCACATATTATGTATGGTATCAAGTGACAGCAGCAGCAAAAAATACACTTACAAAGTATTTAAGCTGATCTAGAATCCCCCACAGAAGAAACAAGCAGGTGAGCAGAACATGTCTACTGACAGAGATTTTTCACAGTCACAGAATTGTAGGGGCTGGAAGGGACCTCTAGAGATGATCCAGTCCAACCTCCAGCAAAGCAGACTCCCTAGGCCAGGTTGTACAGGTAGGCATCCAGGCAGATCCTGAATGTCTTCAGAGGAGGAGACTCCACCTCTCTGGGCAGCTCCGTCACCCACACTGTGAAGTTCTTACGCACATTTGTCTGAAACTTCCCATACTTCAGATTGTGGCCATTTCCCCTCATCCTTTCGCCATGCACTGATGAAAAAAGTCTGGCATCATTCCTTTGCCTTCCACACTTTAGATATTTAGAGGCATCGACCAAATCCCCTCTCAGTCTTCTTTTCCCAAGGCTGAACAGACCCAGGTTACTCAGCCTTTCCTCACACAGGAGATGCTCCAGGCCTTTCACCATCTTTGTGGCCCTCTGCTGGACTCTTTCCAGGAGATCCCTTTCTGTTTTGTACTGGGGAGCCCAGAACTGGACACAATACTCCAGCTGAGGCCTCATCAGGGGGAGGATCACCTGCCTTGACCTGCTGGCCACGCTCTTTTTAATGCACCCCAGGATCCCATTGGTCTTCTTGGCCACAAGGGCACACTGCTGGCCAACCTGTAGTCCACAGGAACACCCAGGTCCTTCTCTGCAGAGCTCCTCTCCAGCAGGTCAGTCCCCAGCCTGTACTGGCACAAGCTGTTATTCCTCTCTAGATGCAAGACTCCACACTTGCTTTTGTTAAACCTCATCTGGCTCCTCACTGCCCAACAAATTCTTCAACAAATTTTCTCCTGCTCTACTCAAAGACAAGTCACAGAAACAGGTCCAAAGAAAATAAGCCAAATATCTCAGCTAACAAAGGGCACTTGTGTACAAAAAAACCCTGTTTTTTGGTAAGCACCCACAGCCAGGTGGAACTGTGATCTCTGTCAGAGAGTCACACATCAAAGCACTTCAACCACGGATTCCAGAAAGACACAGATTTTACTTCAAGTACCTCAAATGCTCTCATCACCCTACGCTTAGGCTTCATCTGTAGTCTTTACTTTGTTCTCAGTTAGCAGCATTTTTTCAAATGCATGACTGCCACAAAGTGAAGATTAAGAAACTGAACGATATTTTCAAGAATTAGCAAAGTCTACAGGATTCTTGAGCTGTTAACATTCTTGTCCCTTGGGCACACACAAAAACACGACGACTGTGACCTCACACATCCAACTGAAATCAAAACAGAACACGCCAAAGAAGAAATATCATGACCAGAAACTAGAAGAGCACTGGTTCCTTTTCCTGCCCATCAACAGCCAGTAAACTAAGATGAAGAGCAGTCAAATTTCTGAAACTGATGTCATATCAATTGGAAAATTGACTGAGCCCACACCATAAGCAGTAATTGCTCTCTACTCAATTTACTGGCCCAAGCTGCCTGTTTCCCATCTGCTCCTACACAATTTAAGTAATTCTGACCTTTGCTCTTTGTTCCTGAAAGCATCACATACTTATAAGTGTGTCAGAGGCCAATTCTTTACATTCTCTACTAGGATAAGCTGTTATGAAGAGTGAAAATTCTGCATCCGTAATCGCCAAGCCAGGCAAACTCAACAAGAACAACCACACATGGTCTTCCTGAACCCACCATCTAAAATTCATAAGATGACATAGCACACACCTTCATGTACAGAAAATGAGGTCATCACATGCACTCCTTGCACTCATATGAAGATAGGCTTAATACACAATACAAACTGCTACCAAACTGTGTGATTTGCTATTGGTTTGAGGAATACAGTGAGAGGCCCACTGAACACCTTATGCTCCTGCTAGCACCCCCTGGGCTCCTTAGAAGCACATAAGAGGCAACTCAGTCTTGGAGTGGTTTTCAGGAACAAAACAGACAGAATCTCACCAAATACTACAGAATTCTGAGGCATGATAGCTCAGCTGTAAACAGATAATCACATACTGCAGTAATATCTCAGCATTTTTTCATAAGATAAAAAGCTATTCCAAACACAGTTTGGAATTTGTGAGTTTTGTTACTTAAACAACATTTTTATGCTATCTGAAGTCACAGCTGCTTCATGCTCTCACTGAACGACAGCGTTCTCATCCTAAGATGACAGAAGATGAAGTACTGTAAATGAAAACCAAGACCCTACATGACAGAAGATAACACAGCAAATCTTTGCTCCAAATTTTAGATCTCGTGAAATACCCTGTAAAATACACTGCAATTAAATACTATGTTTTAATGTATGACTGAACCCTACCAACGGAGTCTGTGGTATCTCAAGTAACTGTATCTTAGGTTACTCAAAGCATCACTTTGACAGTGATCAAAATGCCTGCTGATAGCACAAACACAAATGCTATATACATACAATCATATGTAATTAACTACTTATATAGCACAGACTGCACTGAAACATAATTGGTAGACACCATACAACAGATGTACGGTGCTTCCAGTCTCACTAACATATCTGCCTCCACTGGACATATAACAGTTAAATGTACGTGGAAATACATAGGATGTTATGGAGAATTTAATGACATATCTTTCTTCAAATAAATTCCCTGCCAAGTTGCAAAATAATTCTTTGAACTACTGTTAAATAAAAGTTAGAAAACTGGGAAACACAAAGGAAGACACCAATGCGTTCTGTCACTGCAAAAGGGCAAATATTAACATGATGAGATAATGAAATGACAGATACAGGTTTTAGTCAATGACTTTAATACAGACACAGAACTCCTAAGCAGAAACGCACTTTCACAGAACACATCTTTTTTTTGTAAGATTAAAAGATTGTGGATAAGAGTAACTGTGCTGTCTCTAACAGTTTCCTGGAGAGCTGTGACTTAGTGCTGTGACTCTGAGGAAAAGAGCCTTATTTATATGAATACTGCACATACTAAATCAATTACAAATAGGTTAAAGATCTCTAAATGTACCTGCGATGCAGCCTCATCACAGATTTGTTTTCTACTCCGGCACCACTCATGTTCATCACTACTCTCTGGAGGTAATGTAAGAAGAGGATAACCAGCAGTTTGCCAGTGTTGACCATTTCACCAACTTCTGAGTCATGCGTAATGACCAGAAAAAGCCAAACAATGTGAGCAATTGAAAAGCAAGATAGTACATCTCAGAAAGAAGACATGATAGATACGGAGCAAGGGGCTGTACTGCCCAAAGCAGTATCACCACTGCCTGCAGCACAGGTGCCTCTCTGAAACGCCGTGCTGCTGCCACTCCCCAGCTATGTACCTCAGAAGCAGGGTCTGCTGAGCGGGATGCCACTTTCCCTTGCAAGCAAAGAACTTGCAGGCTTGAAAAACAGTTTTGAAGCGACTGCTACCTTGGTATCGAGTTTAAGTTAACATCAGTAACATCAGTAACAAAAACGATGGGGGAGCAAGGTTAAATCCCAGCTCTCTGCCTCGTGGGATTCTAAATCGGCAGATTCAGTAGAGAGCGGGTATTAATTCACATACACGGATAAAGAACCCGACTGTCGGCTCAGCGTTTTTCGGGCTGCACTGCAGGCAAAGGCTCCCAGCTGGACACGGGAACGAGCAGGTGAAGCCTTGGAGCGCCGCTGCGAGCCGCGTGCGCGACCCTGCTTTCCCAGAGCGCCGTGCCCGCGGCGGGCCGCGCACCGACACGAACCAAGGGGCAGCGGGGCGCACATTCCTCGCACCGCAGCCCCAGACGCACGTAGAGCGGCGGGCCGAGCCCCGCCCCGCCCGCCATCCGGACGGCCGCGGGGACACGGCCCGCTCCCGCGCGTGGCCCTGCGGCCGCCCCGCCCGGCCCTCGGGACGAACTCGGAGCCGCCCGCGCTCTCTCGGCCGATCCGCACGGCCCGGCGTCTCCCGGCCACGCGCCGCCACCGCGAGCGGCGCTCCCCGCCCGGCCCAAGCGGCGCCCCGGGGCGACGCGGCGCTCCTCCCTTCGCCCACCCCACCCGCGTCCGCCCGTCAGCCCCTTCCTCCGCTCCCCCGCGCCTCTCCTCTCCCCCTGTCTCCTCCCACCCCTCCCCGTGCCGAGGTAACTCCCAGGAAACGCGCGGACCTGCGGTTCTTACCTTCTTTGGCTTTTTTCCTCCTCGCCAGCGTGCCGCCGAGCTTGCCCAGGAAGGAGTCATCCTTTTTTCTGGACGGGGGCGATTTCGGGGTGGGAGACTTGGGGGAAGAAGGGGACTTCTGTGGGGACGATGCCATGGCGGCCGGGCCGGCGCTGCGGGATGGAGGAGACGGCTGCGAGGCCCCGGAGCCGTGGGAGGCCGCTCCCGGCTCTGAACGGAAGCGGAATTATTCCAGGCATTTGAGGCAGCTCCGCTCCGCTCTCCCGCTCCTGCCCTGCCTCCCGCCCGCCCTCCGCCGCCGGGCTGCGCCCCTCCGCCCTCACCTGTCCCGCCGGGGGACGGGACCGCCTCCCCGCCCCGCCGCGGCTCGGCTCACCTCGGGCTCCGGCGAGGGGCGACCCGAAAAGCCTCGGGTGCGGGCACGGGCGCAGCCCGGCAGCCCGAGCGGGGCCGGGCCTCGGGGCGGAGCGGCTGCCCCGCCGACCGCCGGAGCGCTCACGGGCCGGGAGCCGTGGGGCTGCTCGGTGCCTGCTCGCACGAGCGGCTCTGGAGGGGCGGGCGCTGCAGGCGGGTGTTTGTGCGCTCTGATAACTACCCAGGTAGTTGGGTACTGCCAAGCGTCCGGGTGCCGCTGGATAGCTCTGTGCTCCGCCGTACGTCTCCGCTTTGCTGTGCGTTACCGCCGGAGCCGCGGTCTCGAGGGAGGCGGGCATCGCGATGTCCGTTTCAACAGAAAAATAAATGACCGCTGTAGAAAACGGGGGGGAGAAAGGTGACTTAGAGCGACAGGTGGCCTGCACTAATCATCCTTTGATTTGCGGATGAGTAGCCTAAGAGAGAAGCTTCTTCAAAGCAGCTGATGTGCCGCGGCTCGGGGGCTGGTGCGGGAGGCGCCCGGGGCAGCGGTGTGTCAGCTGGAGGCGATGCTTTCACTCCCCGCTTAATCACTCGGTTAACAATTCGGGCAAAAAGCCACACACGCTTCGTGCAAATACCTAGCTATCCATTAGGCGTAATAAGTGCAATGAAATTACCGCGAGGATATTTCTAAATCGGCTAATAATTGTTGTGTTTTCACAAGCTGGTGGCGTTGGTTAGCTGACATCAATGAGTATTTGTTGTGTGCAGTTAGTATATGCCCTGGGGAAAAGCTTTATTCATCCGTACTGCCATCAGTTAAAAGCATAACGAGCCCAGGCTGCCACTACTGCTCCGCACGTCCTTGGGCTCAAAGCAACACTTGTGTTCCCTGGACTGTTGTCTGCAGGTTTTTTTGAAAAGTTTTTCCATTTATGATGATTCTTTTTGAGGACAGTTAAAACATTCTTTTTTTTTTTTTTTTTCTGTACCTTAAAGTCAGAAATACATGTGCTACTTTTTTTTTTTTTTTTTTCTCCCTCTTTTGATCTGGGAACATATAGAGAAGTATGAGTTTAAGAGCCTTTCAGCTAAATGCAGTATTAATTTACAGACGTGCATAAGGCCTAGCTTATGGCAGACATGGGAATGCTGCTTTGAAATGCCGAGCTCATATGCAAGTAGAATTTTAACCACAAAGCAAAGCTGCAGTGATATGAACTTGCCATGGATTCTCATTTGCCTAGGCTTTTGCTCTGCTTCAGATTTGATAACTGAATGCTTTCACAATCGTGCTCCCTGATCCCACCCACAGGATGCAACATTAGCAGGCTGCCATTTGGGCTGCCCCTCTACATCTGGCACAGAGAAACCTGGAGCAGAGCACGAGGGCTCTCACCATGCTCCCTGTCAGCACCTTGTTCTAACTGGTGAGCCAACCGATACCTCAAATTAATTGTAGCCTCATCGTATGTATGCTATTGCCAGGTAATAAAAGCTGGTTACATCACCACACTTCAAATGCATTCTTATCCACCTGCATATCCATGCATGCACACCTGTTTTTTTTTTAAATTTCTTTTACTACAGGGCTCAGAATGATTGGGAACGGACTGTTGCTTCTGATTGAGATAGAAGAGATATAATATGTAATATACCCACCATGGGCTAGGCTAACAAGAAGGAGCACTGCAGCAGCTGAGAGGATACCATATACTTACCATCTGAGATGGCTGACTCCCGGGATAGAGGTCAGCTCTGATGTCCTATCTAGTTTTTCAAAGTACTCTTGCTTATTATAATTATTTTTTTAAACACACAAGCTTAAAGCCAAGCTGGTTAAGGCCATGCAATAAATTATTCCTTTGTCTTTAAGTTCAGTGTTTGTTTCTGAAGTGTTCCTCTGCGTGAGCCTTTTATCTGATTGGTCACTTAAACCATGGAAGACATTTTCAAAAATGCTCCAGCGACCCACTGTTATTGCTGTAACTGCTTACAGCAAATCTTTTTGCTGGCTTCAGGAGGAACAGAACTAGACCCAAGTCTACCCTTTTCATTTCTCCACACGTTTGCCCTCAGCCATCCAACTGCCAATTCTGCATAGTTAACTACTGAACGTGCCCTCCCCCATACCTCCCCACTGAGTAACATTCAACAGCACAGTAAAAGAGGCAGTGTAGAAATCTAACAAAAGATTATGTATTGTATACAGCTACAGAGATTGAATATTTTAGAAGTTTCAAAGAGAAATGTCAGGTGCAAATATCATTCTGGTACTTAATGCTTCTAGCCACATGTAGTTCTGTCAATTTGTCATCTATGAGTGCATGGCCAAATGTATATGCATTTGCATCTGACCATGTTGAGACTGTTTTAGGAAAAATCAGTATCAGGAATCTTTCTTAATAAGCATTGCTTGTGCCTTTCAATTGAGCCCATGATTTTGTGCATCTGTTACATCAGTATTCCAGCAAGCACATTGCTGGCACACAGGGCCACTGGACCTCTATCAGTGGTTCACTGGAAACAGCAGAAGAAACCATCTGAGAAGAACCCCGTGGTTTGTTCATAGATATTAGGGGCATAATGATTTAGGTGAAATCCAGTTTGCACTTTGTATATCACCAGGTATTTGCCAGGTTCATGAGGTATGGCTGCCATGAAGATTGTGGGGATTGTTTTCACACGCTACCATGGTAAATCCATTGTGCTGGACTCTGCGAACAACCATGTGGTCCATGCAGAACTCAGCAAAGACAGTTTTAGGCCTTAAGAACAGCAACATTTTACAAGATACACAGAACCTCCAACCTGCTAGGGCACATTCTGGTACGTGCTTACACGAGGAAGAAAACAGAGTATATCTTTCTGAAAAGAAAGTGCTGAACAAAAGTGAAATTCTTCGTGGAAATCACATATGCCTTAGGCTAAAAAGTAGTTTGAGGAATAAGTCCAAGTTCACTGCCTGTGCCCAGAGAAACCCAGCCAAACAGTATAAAAACCAGTAAGGCATTCCTTTACCTTGAGCACAAACAGATTGATCTTGGGGCAAATAATAGCTTACAAAATCCATTCCCCGAAATCCTTGCCCAATTGGCTTTTTTTGGGGCACAGAATCTTACGAAGATAGAAGGAGCAAATAGGAGGGGAGCCTCAGTAAATTCTTTGGTGGCATTCCTCCCCACGCTGTGCTCTGGGACAGCCAAACCCCCTACATGGTCACCTGACCCCTGAGAGGTGTTAAAAACAGATAAAAGTTTGATGTATTATTTCCAATAAACCCAGCAGGCAGGTAATTCCTGTGAGCAGTACAGTACAGGGAGTTACTACCATGGCAGTCTCTCAGGCACACAAAATGGAAAGTATGAAATAGTAGAAGAAAAAGCTCAGTTCAAATGTGCCAGAAATTACCTTGACCTCAAAGGGAAGCTGCTGTTGTCCATCTGCCATCTGAAGAGGAGGAATTATCAAGCAGTTTAAAGCCACTGAGATATGAACGACAGTGCAGATGCTAACATAAGCTCCAGTCTTGCTTCTCTCATCTTGAACAGCACATTGTCTTGCTCTGAAAGGCTTCCCCACTGGTAAAAAGCAACAAAATGAGATGACCTACTATAAGGAAAGTTATGGGAATTTGAAAATCAGCATGTAAGGTTTTGATCACCAATTCTTAGTGATCCACATGGACACTTTTTCTTCAAGTCTTCAGGGAGTTGTTACAGTTTGGATGTCGTGTCCAAGGAAATTAGGTTGTGAATTCCTGTGTAAGAAAGTTGTTATCTCATGGATTTCACAACCTGTTGTATTAGAAGTAGAGTTGCATACCGTCCAGCTTCAGGGTGTCATTATTTCTAAACTACAAAATGCATCTGTGAACTGCAAGACAGGGTAATTTACTTCGCAGTATATGATTAAAGAACTGATACAATTTCTTACCCACTGATTTTTCCTAGACATACATTACTATACTGTAGGTACCAGAGGAGAGAAATTACTATGGAAATGACTCACAAGCACTTCAGAGAATGAGATGCAATTTTATTTATTCAAATACAAAATTGCTCACATCCAGCCCATTTAGACATGGCAATACATTCCAGCACATCACATTATACCCAACAACAACAGTGCCAAGGACTGAAAAAACAAAAAAAAAAAAGAAAAAAAAATACCCCAACAAATCCAGTGTATGTTAATGAGTCAATTTACAGAAAAGATCAAGCAGTAAGAACACTCATAACAAAACATGTTTAAACAGATTTGTAATACATGCCAGCCACATTAAATTGACTTGCAAACAGAGCACATAGCTTATTTCTTCTGCCTCCTCTATTCACACAATACAAAGACTTGCTTTAAATTGCTCAAGAATTCTTTTCCTGCTTTGCCTGCATAGTTTGTTTTTGGATCTAATCTTGTGAGGCACTCAGTATCAGTAAGGGTAGCAGTAGCCTGCCAGGTTTTCCACCCAAGAGTAGACATGTGGGACCTGCAGTTGTAGATGGAGTGTGTTATCACTGCACAGCATATAGAAAAGTATCATTTCAGCAGTGAATATCTGTATAGTCCATTAGATGCTGATGGCTCTCAACTTCTGCTGCCTCTCTCGGCTCTCAATGGCCAAACAAGAATCTGCTGTAAGGTGAAGTCTCAAGGCCTGTCTGCACCACAGAGTGACCTGAGCCCAGGCCCTGGGTGAGCAGGTTGGACTTTGGCAGAGGGCCTGCTTCACATTCTTCTGGGGCTGCCCTTCCCCTCCTCTTCCTTGTATGGAGGAGGATGAACAGGCTTTTAATACAATTTAGGTGAATAAATAATCATTGATGGATGTAACCAAGGGCTTCTGTGCTGAATTGCCTTACTGTGCAAAGCGTTAAGAAAATAAGTTTGCTGTAAAACTTGTAAAAAAAAAACAAGAATCCACTGAAAATATTACAACTCTGTTTTCTACAGAAAACAATGACAGATGAGCTAGACAGTATCACTCTACTGGACTACATGAGGCTTTGGGGAACAGTGATAAAATCCATACATTTTCTCCACAAAACTGGGAATGCCAGCAGATTTCAACAGAGAAAATGAACGTATTTCTTACTGTTCTGCTTGCTTCTACTCTGTGTCAATCTGAAGTAATAGAGTGTTAAAATAAATCACTGCAGTCCACCTCAATAAAAATGTAACTTGAAGATCAAGGTGTGCTCAGCATACGAATGGCAGAAAAAAATGACTGATGGTAATTTTGGAATGCATTCAGGGATCCTGCTATGTCTTTCCACCAAAGTGGAAAACAAATTATACTGTTAAAGCTCTACGTGTTATGTTGTAAGGGTATCCCACAGAGATATTATTCACATCTTAATTTATACTTTATTACTAATGATTACCAAATTGAAAAAGCTACCTAATTTACTCTGCAGACCTTTAGCTATAAATAACTGTTAGAAATAAACTTATTTATGAAAATTGGAGACAACACCCGAACTGTAAAATATAACATGACACTCTTATCCTCCTTACACAGACTAATAAATAAGTATAAATAAATAAATATTGCATAACAGTAATATAGTTCTTGTAGCAAAGAGGTATATTATGTATGTCAACAGTGAAAACTTTTTTTTTTTTAATTTTAAAAAGGATATTTTAAATTTCTTACAATACAGCGAAAACTTAAGATCACTCATAAATTATTGTACTAAGATCCACTGTATGTGTTACCCTACAGCTAGTTACCAAGAGGTTATTTAGCTTAATTGTCTCATAACAAGAATGCTTGTAGCTTTGGCTGTAAGAAGGCAGCTCTTGCAAGTAAGCACCAGTCATGAAATAATGAGAACATCAAATCTTCCGAGTGTGAGGTAAAATGATGTTCAAGAAGGAACAGCCTTTTGGTCTCCTTGGTTTTTCAGTTTGAAAATGAAGTGCATCATATGTACAGGTCTGAAATATTACCAATCTTATATTGCAGAATTGCAGATTTAAGAAAGTACATAAAGTTATCCTGAATATCAACAAGAATTTCTGCACATCTGCTATGCCATGACTACAGAAAGAAGAAAAAAAAATAGATAGCAGGCACTTCCTTTAAGCAAAAGATCTACCTATACATTTTTGAGCAGCAATATAAATGCAATTTAAGTGTAATCACAGCATTATCTATCAAACATTGCTATTGCAAAACTCAGTAATTTTTGCAGTCCTTTTGAGGAATTACTGTAAGGGAGATCTGTTAACTGCTATGCCACTCACGATACTTCTTGCAATACATCCTTTGAAGCAGGTCTGGATAAGTATTATAAAATTATCATTCAGCATACCTTAGAGAAGACCTTAATCAGTGACATACAAAGGCTATTTTGAGTATGTCACAGCCTTAGGGGAGTTAGGCATTTGAAGACCCCTTACCATTTTACAAAACATAGAGATATTTAACATCTTGTTCAAAAACACACGGTGCTCTAAAACATAAGAATATCTAGGAAATTCACATCTGACATTGTATTTACAATGGTTTTAATGAGTGCTTACTTATTAGTCAAAAGACTTTTCCACCAAAAAAAAAAAAAACCTAACCTTATTTCTATATGAGATGCTTGCTTTTGACCTTTAAATAGTTCATCATGGCTTCACTGTGCCAAAATATAAGCGAAACCACACAGAGTCAGACAAATAGATAGAAAATAATGCCATCTCAAAAATACTATGTGATATCATCCTTTTTCTTAAGAGCTCTATTTTCAGCACTAAAATAACATTCCAAGGAAACGCTGGAGTGCCAGTTTCTCTTTCACAGACTGCGGTGTCTCTCAGGTAAATCCATTCCATCTTTATTCTTGTGATTCTTGCTGCTGACAGTGAAGTGATTCACATCAGTGTGAGCACAGAAACTGTTTAAAAGCTCCTGATAACGGAATGACCTTTCTCAAATAAACAGACTTCAAATTTGAACTGCCTTAAATTTCAGAAGCCAGTACCTCCATGCTTACAAATATTGCTGAAATTACATTTGTTTGCATATGGCAGTTTAAATCCCACTCAGCTGACAGCCCCTTGATAAGAGAATGCTTTCAAAGCACTGGTCTTCTGCTTGTTCTTTCACTCTCTGCTCCTCTAAGGCAGACACGAGTTTGTCCCTTTCTTCAACCACTTTCATCATCTCAATAAAAATTTCATCTTCCTCATTTAGATCCATCTCATTTTTAAGGCTGTCTGAAAGATCACAAAACAAGAGGTCATAATCCAGATCATTGTGTTGCTATACTTTGCATTTTAACAGTTGTTGTACTTGGATTAAATATTACACTAAAATGAAGTCAATAGCAGTTAATATTTTTCATCTTACAGTCCAGGGAAAATTTATCCTGCATTTAGGCCATTAGAAGTTGACCATTAAAGCCCCCAAAGTGTATCGTAGAACTTTTAGCAAAACTTAGGCTGTGAAATTAGTAGTAAGAACACCACTTATTTACAAAAACATTTGCAAATGTTGCCTAAACATTACACCATAATTAAAATGCTATATGGTAGGTAGCAGTTACTGTTATTAGGGTGTGAAATCTAACATACCAGCATTTGTACTGGACTTCAAGATTAGTTTATAAAACTCAAAATGCCCAATCACAAAATGCAGAATTTGTAAGAATATAAACTGTTTTTCAGAAAAAATACTGAAAACTGTAGTCACTTATAATCCACATGCTTAGAACCAATAGGATATTTTGGTGTATTCAGTGCTACATATTTACCTGTCTGCCTGTATTCGTCATCCCCACACTCTTCTAATGCTGAATGAAAGGACAAACACAAACTGTACACCCAAATACATAAAAGCAGTTCCAAAATACAATGGTAACCTGCAGCTCTGTAGTTGATATAACCTTGCAGAAGAGCACAGAAGGAAAAGTATAATCCTCTCCGCTCGTCAAAGCAAGTGGGCATGGTCTATAACTGTGGAATAGCACATGTTCCCCACTTTGACTTACCATCAATGGCCATTTTCTCTCTCAGTTTTTGTTCCAATCTGCTTTGGTGGTCCTCCAATTCTAATTCTTGGGCTCTGGGTACAATAAAATATACATTAAACAATACTGGATACAATAAAATATACATTAAATAATAAAATTAAATAAATAAAGTCATGCAAATATAAGCATTATGTTCAATCAACATTTCATGTATTCTGTTTATTCAGTAATTTCTCCTCATGGGCAGTCAGGCCTAAAACTATTGTCTGTGCACAACAATGACAGAAGTACTATTACCACCTTTTGCTTTATGCATTGGGTTAAGCTCCTTCTTACAGTGCAGCACTCAGGGCTTTGACCACCTATGTCAAAGCTTGTTGGTTGTACTCATATAATCATTCTGGACTAGCCTGAGCCTTCCCACAAAGAGTCCAACCAGAATGAATAATGACTACTGCAGCTCTAAATGCCTTCCCACATCATCCAGTGGAGAAAATATCTGGGAGCCACCTACAGCTATCTGCTGAGTATGTTGCAGAGGATGAGAGATGAAGCAGCTACAGCCAGTATTGTTTCCATCAACTACAAAGAGCAGCACGAGGCAGCTTTTACTAGCTTGGTGTATATACTTGTTTCATCTCTGAATTCTTTGATTTTTTCTCTTGTGAGATACACTTGTCAGACTATTTTTCTTATCCAAGAGAAAGTGCCTAAGTGTTCATTTGACCCATGCTTCATAAAGACAGAATATCTGTGTGCTGTAGCTTTTTTGAGTATCCTATAGAAATTAAATAAATTGAAGCACGGTGAGAAGGAAACGATGAGGAGGGCTCAACTGGAGGTCTGCGTTCAAAACAGCCTGTACTCTGAATATGTTCATTCCACAGTTCCAAACTCCACCTCACAGCAACACGTTCAGATGTCCTACGAGTACAAGTTTCTGTCTCCCCTCTGCATCTTTTGCATTAGTGTTCATTCTTACTTACACAATCAAGAGCTCAGACTCGTAACGCATTAATTTATTCTTCTCCAGGACCAGTTCAAACCATTCATGAAGCAACTGAGTTTCATCCTGTGTGCCTGAAACTGTTTAAAATAGCAAAGTTGAATATGCATTACTGGGCTTCCTTCCAATGCTCTTGCCACTTGAGGTTACTTTAAATACTCCTCATTTGTAAGGCTAGATGAGCCCCAAAGCAGATTTATTTTTCTTTTCTATGCAATTTACATAGGTAATGTCCAGACATTACATATATAATACACCTGTTTATTGTTGTTTGAGTGCTGTAGTTTATTGCAATTAAAGATGCGTTTGATTTAAGAACATTGTTTGTATGGAAATCAAGTTTTTCTCTTCCATAGGTTTTTCTTTTTTCTCCCCCCAAATGGCCACTTGCTTTCTTTTAGTTCTGCCTTTGGTAACATAGTTTCTTTGTTAATAGCAGACTTTGGATCCGTCTATATAAACAGATATCCCACTAATATGATCAGATTAAGATGAATTTACTGGCATGTATTATCCAAGTCCCTGCTTCCAGGGGGCAGCACAAGCACGGTCAGGTTCCCTACATATTTTCATTCATTTGCCAACAGGCCTTAAATCTGCATTTGCTTCAATTGTCAGGAAGGATTGTGGCACCAGCAAGATCTATTACTTTGGGGTGGTTTTGTAGCAATTGGAGTTAAGTCATTACTGGTTGACACTGTGCATACATGTAAGAAGAGATGGTTTATCTCCTAGAGAGTGCACAGACTGAGGCCATTTTACTAAAGAGCAGCACAGATTCCTCCGCTGCCACTTCAGAGCCTTTACTGCTCTAAAACGTAGCCTGTAAAAAATCTTTGCCAAGGAAGAACCCCTGGAGTTTTCCAGTGACAGGTCAGAGCGTGGTGCAGGGCACATGCCCTTCCATATAGCTCTCCCCAGACATCCACCTTCATATTCATCCAATCTTCTTGGAGGGAGCATTTGCTGCATTACCAGGATGTAATGATGAGAGGAGATGGTAAGTAACTTCCCTACCTGTGTTAATCAGAAATGGATTCCTGCTTACATACTGCTCTCCTTTTCCTTTGCAAACCTATCTGCAAATGAGCAGGTAAGCTGATTTTACCAGCAGTATTCCTCAGTCAAGAGAATATCTAAGTCCAATGACTCTCCTAACCAAGCTGAGGCTATCAACTTTCTCAAGAGGAATTTGTTTTATTTATTTTAGTTTTTTATTTTTCATGAGGTTCTTTTTAACATGCTCCTCACTTCACGTTTTTCACCCTTTTTTCCCCCACAAAACAGAAGCTCCCAGCCACCTTCCTACATGATCCCTGTGCTGATGAAGGACTGCAGGCAGGTGCTGTCATCTCAGAGAGCGCAGGTCAGCTTGTGTGAGCATCACAAGTGCGTGGGCCCATGTGCCAAGATCAGGAGTCATGCTGGCTTGCACAATGTTTGGTGATTTCACACTGGGATTTGACCCCAGTCTGAAGTTACCATGAAACAAGAGGATAAAGCAACAGGAAAGCGAAAAGTTGGCCTGATCTCTGCCCAACTCCATAAAAAATTGGCAGTAAAGGATGTGTTTCTAAAGAGTCTTTCAGGTCAGCAAATGATGATAAAAATTTCTTCTTAGAGTGACTGCCAGAGCAGATCTTGTAGGGAAGAGTTAATGATAAGTTCTTACAGGTTCAACACTGGGATGGATGAGGTGTTAGTACCCAGAGCCTTCAGTCTTCATATATCATCATCAGAACATAGCATCCAGACTTGATTTACCATATTGTCAAAACATTGCTACTGCAAGTCTGCAAACATCCTTTCCAAACCCACAGAGCTACTATCTCCTTTTTGTTGTCTTTCTGATTAGGCAAAATTGTCTATTTTAAATACACACTTTTAAATATGTAAAATATTTCCTTTTTACATTTTAAAATGTCTCTAATAAAAAACAATGCATCGTAACTTGATTGAGGTACACAAATAGGAACACACTCTGCAAAAAATGCCACTTATTTCTGCAAAAGCCTGCGTGGAAGTTGAAATGAAAACAGCCATTGTGTTCTTTCTTTTTCCATCCCACAGAATGCCCCTCTGGTGTCTCCAGAGGCATTTTTCCCTGAGCTTTTCAAATATTTCTTAGTAACACTGCTAATAGTAATTTGAATCTGAAGGACAAGGGGAAATGGTTTTAAGTTGAGGGAGGGAAGATTTAGGTTGGATGTCAGGGGGAAATTCTTTACAGAGAGAGTGGTGAAGTGCTGGAACAGCTGCCCAGAGAGGCTGTGGATGCCCCGTCCCTGGAGGTGTTCAGGGCTGGATTGGATGGGGCCCTGGGCAGCCTGGTCTAGTATTAAATGTGGAGGTTGGTGGCCCTGCATGTGGCAGGGGGGTTGGAGATTCATGATCCTTGAGGTCCCTTCCAACCCTGGCCATTCTGTGATTCTGTGACTGCTTCATGCCTTCCAGGAGCAGAACAACTCACTGAAGTCTTTGCCATAAGGTAGCAAGATCTTTTTTTAAAGGTTAGAGAATTTGTTTTGTTAGGGCTGCTAAAACAAAATTTTCCTTCTGGTTTGCCCAAATCTATTGTAACCCATTTGATCCCATTTGAAAACTGGATTTTCTTCTCATTACATCATAGCTATTTCAGCATTCATTGCTTTTGAGAGTGGGCTGTGGCTACCTTTTGCCATCAACCCTTTATCCACAAAGCAGTGCTCTGTGGTCTCTGTGTTACACATAGAGGGGATCAGCAAGTTGCTCCTCCCTATGAACTTCTAAATCTCATATTCCTTAATCACAGAGGTTTTCAGCTGATTCCTTTTGACTTTGTTGGAAGTTCTAAGAAACCTTGGATAGAAGCTTATGAAATCAAAAATGGTCCACACACATGTAGATATTGGCTCACATTCCAAATCAGAGTTGGATTTTTTTTTTTCCATGTTCTGTCTACACAGATTTTCTTCTTTACCACCATTCCTCATGATTTTTTTTAGTCAGTTGATTGGTTATGTTAATTTCAGTGAAAAACGTGCTTGGGGATTTCCATTTCTGTATTTTCTTGTAGGCAGATGATCTCTATAAGCCTCCACAAATGTCAATGGAAAACAAAGCAGTGATACATTAATTATTTATTATTCAGTATTTAGAATCAGAATAAAGGGAATAAGGGCCATGAAAAAATACTCATAGAATTTATATTCTTTTTTTCTTTAGAAAAAGAAAAAAAAATAGCATGGATTGTCACTGCAATTAGAAGATCATGAAAGCCTTATTTTGCTCATCAGTCTTCATGGCAGTTGTTTCACACCCACGCATGTTCTCTTCTAATTCAGCTGAGGAGCTAATGAATAACCCCAGCTAACAAAGGGGCCATTCATCCTCCTATTAAAGGAGAGTTGCGTAAATGTCACTGAAGACCAGTGTTTGCAGGCCTGTCTCTAAATTTGGTTATTCACAACCTTTCCAGCTCAATATTATTGCTGAACCGTGATCGTTTTCTAATCACCTTAATAATACCTATTAAACCACTTGAATTACATAAGCACAGACCTGCTTAAATACAACTTAACCTAATAAACACTGGTCATTCATTAAACAATAATGCCCATTATTTTTAAGAAGGTCGAATGGAACACTGAACTCACTGATTCCTGCATCATTACACACATGTTATAATTCAAGTGACAAAGCACTTACGTTTTGTTTGGGAAGCTTACAGCTTCATGCTTTTGCACCAGAAGAATTATTGAGAGACAGTAACATCCTACGTTGCAGTATCTGCCCTATTTGTAACTGGCCACCTACACGCAAACAATCAACAGGGAGAAAAAATACTACTTTCACCTTAATGAGGGCAATCCAATTACTGAGGATGGGAAGAGAATGAGAAGCATCGATCTCTTGGCAGATAGCCTTCTTTAGGAAATGCGATTGTCAAAACAGCAAAACAAGAGTTAGCTCTAGGCCATCCATCCCAGTACTCTGCATCTATCCCAAGAGCTAGAAATCTCTTGTTCCTCGTATTTTTGATAGCTTCCAAACCAGCCACTCTCATTGAAATCAGTAGTAAAGAACAAAGCTAATATACCAGACTTCACAGTCTTCTTAGGAGTGTTTCTCACAGATGAGAAACATTGGGTGCTATTTGATAAATTGTAGTGCTTTTGTTTAAGAAAAAGAAATGGTTTCTAGCCTTTTAAATAACGTTTGAAACAAATAAGAACTATCAGTTATAGGAAAGTTGCTAATAAATGTAAAATACTCTTGTCAAACAGGACAGTTTCGTGTTAGAATAAGGGCAATAACTGCTAAGAAATATGGCATTAAAACATCCGGTGTGTAGAGAATTTGCTAGGTTTCCTAACTAAGATGACAAATCAGGTGTCAAAACATATCCAGCGCTGTGTAACTGCATGCCCCAAAAGCTTAAGCTTCACCTTTCTGAAACAAAGATAAACAGATGCTTTCAATTGGGCTGTCTGCTCCCCAGAACCCTTTTGGCACAGAAATAAAGGCTCCCCTGAAGCCACTTACACAGATCTTTCCCTCATCCCCTTTTGTCCTGTCCCAGCCTGCTGCAGAAGGTTTCCTCAGCTTCACTCTGCCAGTGCTGGGGAGCATTGGGAGAGCACCATGTTTCAGGACACTTGGCACTGCTGGTTCAGGCAAGTGAAAGCCTCATGCAGGATGATGCTCCTATTATCTTTCACCTATTTGGAGTGGTGGAACTGCTGGCTGCTGTTGCTATAGCATGGCCATCACCTTAATTGTATTAATGGCATTTCATATGCCAGGACTCTGTTACCAGGCAAGGACTATTGTCAGCTTGGTAACTGAGACAGAGCTCCTGGAAACTGCACTGGTTTCTTCCCAGAGAAGAAACTAAGCTTAAGATAGGACTTAAAAAAATATATAAAAATGGGAGTAGGGTGGTGGGAGGGAAATACAGATTCATGCTCAACAGCGAAGCAAATATTTCTAAATCGAAGATAACGAAAAGAATGTTACAGTGCTCAGCTAAAGGGTGCTTGAGCTAACAGAGTTTCAGGAAAGGGGTAAATAAGGATTTCTCTCCTTCCATATTTCATTCAAAATTTTGCACTGAATTCTATGACAAAAATAAAAACTCTCTTCTTAAAACAAACAAACCAAAAAACTACAGAGAAAACAACCAAAACCCAAAACTATCAAGAACGAACACTCCTTCATTTACCTGATTCTCCTCTGAGTTCTCTCTCCAACTGAACTCCAAAAACCTCCAGTGCTCTCTGTCTTTCCTCCAGTTCTTCCAGTTGGCGCTGGATTGCCTGCGAAATTGAAAAGGTATAAAATTTGTAGACATAGCTTAAGAGATTCAGAGACAAACGATAGTGGTTAGAGAAACAGCTTGAAGAGATCTCTGAGGAGTCATGGGACATGCAAACTCATCAAGTGTGTTTGGCGCCTAAGCAATTTAACAATTCCACTATCCACACCAAAATGTGGATAAAATCTCAGATACTAAAAGAACCCCAGTGTACTGCAGGTATTTTCAGAGATGCCTTATGGATAACGGACACAAAACACCTTTATAAGACTGAAGTTTCTGCTTCAGGCTGTGTAGGGCATACCAAACCCAACCCTCAGAACAGCCTAGCAAACAAGAAGGACAGTTCAAAATGTTCAGACTTGATTACTCCCGTAAAGCAGTAAGAAAAAATAATTTTACTTTGAGATCATTTACATCTGCCAAAATAAAAATGGTAACAATTGTTCTTTTCTTTAGGTTAGATACAAAACCATCCAATTGTTACTGTAATACAACAGAGGATGATGTAGAACTCTGACTTCAATAAACATGACTGTTTTTCAGGGTCTGAATAAACTGAACTGACTTAGCATCAGCGTTTTTAAAAAATCAATCAATTAATTAAAAGATTCACTTTCACCTCTAAGGCAGAGAAGACAAAAACCCTCACTCTATTTTACCAGAGTCCTGGTAATATGCCAGGATGATAGCTGAGCTTCTTGCTTTCTCAGAGGATGACATTTCCTTTTTCTCTCTCTGTCCTTCAAATTCAGTGTGTTCTACTGCTATTGCCAGTCACTATTGCTCCTTTTCATGCACTTATGCATAATTACAAAGCTGTAACAATCTGCTGGGGCACACTTGGACTTGTCACACAGGGGTCTGAGGCCCTGCCATGTGAATCTTACTGCACCTGATATTTTGGGTGGATTTCAGTGTGGTAGTCATGAGCTGCAGTGAAGAGCAAGGGTGCAAAGGAGGTATTTTCTACCCCTGTCCTTGCCAAGCACTTCTGGGAGAAAAACGTCCATTTGTGAGCTACACTGTCACCTGTGCTTTGTGAAGTCTCTTTAGCTCCTCTTGTTTAATCAATTGTTTTGTCTCCTTCTCCAGCTTTCTTCTCCTTCTAAGAGATCTTTTAGCCTAGAAAAGGGGAAAAAAAACAACACCAACACAACAACAATCAATCGAAGTACAAGTATGCCACTAAATGCTTCCACAAGCCTTTCCCAGAATCACAGTATCACTAAGATTCAGAGAGGTCCCTGGAGATCATCTAATCCAACTGCCCTGCACAAAGCAAAGACACTGCAAGCTGCTTGGGCAACCTCAATGAAATGAAAATATTTGTGTAGGGAATATTTTCAAGCACTTCTCTACGCTTTGAAACTTTACAGAGTCCTCTGCAACACTAAGCATGAAACGTCTTTACCAATAGAAAAGTTCAAATGACAGGGAGGACTGTACACAAAGCAGCATTGCCTATGGCGTGTGCAGACATTATGTGTGTGAGGGAGAAGCCAGGCACAGGCAGTGAGAAGCACCAGAATAAGAAAACTCAACCCCACTGCTGGAGTAGAAAATTCAGTCTGAAGGGTGAATGCTATCTTTGATGGTTCCAGTGCGTGTTAAATGTAGAAACAGGTCTTCCAAAATCTAGCTGGTTTGATTGTAACTCACACCTGTGCAGTGCAGTTGCAAGTGGGAAGGGAGCATGCACAGCAAGGGAAGTGCTTCACCTTGCTCTTGGTCTAAGCTTTCTGGAAGCGTTCAAGGCTGTGGTTTTCTCACTCAAAGGACATATGAGCACAGTAGACAAGACAGCTGAAAAACTGACAGGCCAAGAAGCCACTAGCATTTTTTTCACAAAGTTTTATCAATGAGAAACAGTGGTACTTACTAAACAGAGGTACTTGGAAGTAACTTAGAGAGACAAAGTGAGTGGGTAGTGTGCATCTAGCACTGCACTATGGGCAGTTGCTCCTTTCAGTTTTCTCCTGTCTCTCTCCCTCTCCTTTCTTTCTTTTTTTTTTTTTTTTTGCATTTTATTTAACCGTCACCATCATATTGTCTTATTAAATACCATCTTCCCTGTAGCACTCCTTTAGTTTATAGAAACGCAGTAGAATTTCTTCCTTTTTTTTTAAATTTTTTTAACATTTGATCTTGAGAAGTCTTAATATTGATTATCACTCCTTTTTTTTTCCTCCCACACTTCTAAGCAACTGGTATTTTAAACAATCGATTTTATTAAAGGTCACTGTTTGTAGGGTATCTCACAGCATGGCTAAGCAGCTGAAAGACTTGGCCACGTGTCAAGGCCCATTTCCTCAATGTCCTGAGCAGAGTTCTGTGGGCAAGAGGATGAGAGCTGGTGGACTTCCATGCTGCCTCACAGTGCCAGACAAACTGTGGGGAGAGTGGGCAACAGTGGTGTGAGGAAGAAAACTGAAAATGCCTATGTGCCATGAAATATTTCATACCTGAAGGTCTTCTCTTAAAAACGAACTGAAGGTGCTCTGGGATAACAAAATGTTTCTCTCCTATATTTGTTGATAACTTTTCCAAAATCTGCTCTGCTTCAGAGGGTTTCTGCAATCTCAGTTCATCCTTACCCAGCATCACTGGTGGGATATACAGCCAAACACTGCTGCACTTTGCTTTGCATTGCTTCCTCCAGAGCCGATCCTCTCCTTTTGCCCTCAAAAGGCAACAAATCAAAAGGCCACCTTACACTATTACTTCCACTTACTTATATTCCCTCTGCAGAAAAAAGTTAAATCTGTTTATCTGATGAGCTAGTCAGGCAATAAAAGCTGCTTCTTCAGATCAGAGTTGGGTATCAAGAGTTCACTGGTAATTTAAATCCATTGCTCCAGGAAGACACAAGAGCTGTGTTAGGGCTGGGAGATACCAGTGTACAGCACGTCCTTTCCATGTATGTGGTCTGGGTGTGACTTTCCAGCTCATGTAGCCATGCTGATTAAGGTAAACAGAGAGTTTTTCATGCAGTCTGCCTGTATTGCCTCACAAATGAAGTTGTATTTCCCCACGGGAAATCTGCATCTGTTTGGTTTAATTTTTTCAATGGTTTGCTTGTCGGGCTGCATATTAAAGCCACTTATGAATACTGCTTCAAAGTGGTTTCAGTTAAACATGTCTGTTTGTCCAATTAAGACCTCCTCCATCAACAGTGGTGTAACCTGGGGAATTACAGATTCAAGGAGGAGAAAGAAATTTTCATGCATCTGTCACAGTTTCAGTGTATTTTACATCCATGCAACCCTCTCTGATAAAATGTTCCAATCCCCATTTAAAGAAATTGTGGAGTGCTTTAGAACAAAGTCATGAATCTTAAATGTAGTCCAACTGAGGAAATGCATTTTTGCTTCAAAGAAAAGGTTACCTTGTATGTTAATGAAGGCTTGGATTCAAATTCATCATCATCAGAGGAAGAAGTAAAATACTCAGCAGTCTGTTTCCTGACAGGTGGAAGTTCACATCCTAAGAAGAGGGAACAAAGCCATTAAAGAGGCAAAAAATACCGTTCTTTAACATATACAGACACTTTGCACCTGCCCCAGGTCCTAATCAGCAGCACCCAGGGCAATTTGGAAATTTGGCTCACTGCATTAATTGGATTTTAGTCACTGTCAAAAACCCTGTCTGGTATATCTTTTTTTTTTTTTTTTTTTTAGGTATTGTAGACAAATAAATTAATGCCTTGAGCCCTCTCCACGTAGCATGCTGTTCTGAATGCATTCAACATTCATTAAAATGCATATCTGAAGTTAGCCATATTACCCAAATGATTGTGTAAGGCTCACTATACAGTGTAATTGAATGCAAAAAGTCTGAGCCAGCTCTTAAACAAATTACCCTTATGTGGCTTGTAGCATCTGGCACCCATTTTTACTACATGACATCTGCTCAGTGTAAAATAGTTGGCGTCAGAATGTCTGGTCATAGAAAAAAATCACAAATGTAATCAGAAGCAAATGGACTACGAGAACAAGGCTTTATCACACAGCCTCATGCAACATAAATATTTAATTAATTATGTCTAAACAAACGTCACTTATTTTTCTGCTTTAGGAATATTATCACATCATTGAACTGTTGATTAAAATGCCATAATAAGTCAGGAAAATCCATACATCACAACAATGCATTTCATAAGGAAAACTCAAAGGCTGCCTTCGGAGGAAGCATGCTTTCAGAATTACAAATTAAATTACATTTAATTGCAGCAATTTTATAATGCCTGTTTTCCCAGCATCTTGTTTCAACCGGGTGTAAATATTTGAATTTCTTCTTAATTTGTCTAATTCATAGCTTCATTCTCTTTATTTAAGAAAATAAAACTGCTTTTGGAACATCTGTCTCTACACTTCAACCTGCTACAGGGTTAATGATTAACAGCTGGGCAGCATCTTGGAAACGTACATTATTTAAAGGCAGCATTTATTTATTTATTTTTATCTGCTAGGTAACAGTTAGCTTTCTATGTGCACGTTGCATTCAGATTAAAATCACTTCCCACTCGTTCAGTGGAAATGTTTCTTCTCTCTTTTGCCTTCTCCTTCATCTCAGTTCTGAGACGACATTTTTGTCTCAAACCCCGATTTGAAATCTGGAGCCAAGAAACACGTTCATCCCAGGAGGTAAAGCAATGAGAGCAAATCTAAGTAATTTGAGACAAAAATTCTGATATTTCCCCCCAAACATTTCATTTTTGGAAGCACCCAGTCCTTGCGTTCAGTGGAGCTGCAAGCTCAGAAGGTTTTTTTGGCAGGACAGCAGGGACAGCCAGCCTTACCAGTGCAGGAGACAGAGGAAGGCATGGGCAGTATTGCATTCACTATTTCTTTTGAGGAGTTAATTCACCTATCTTGCATTTCCTTGCACAACCAAACAAGCACAGTAACTACCCTGCAGGGTGAAATCAAATTCCATAATATGCAATGGGCAAACCTTCTGGGGAACCTCAGCAGAGCTGGCCATACGAGCAATTACACGCTCCCTTTCTTCTCTCTGCTCTGGGAATAAGCAATGGCTTCTCCATGCCCTTCTCTTTGAGGAACATCAATAATTTAAGCAGCCTTACAAAATCCAGAGAGAAGACAGACTGCTGAAATATACCAGAGGCACCCGCCTCTCCTCAGCTGTGTGTCTTTTTGGAATGGAGAGAGGATTGCTGACATCTCCAAGGACCTTCAGCAAGGGTTATCTCATGAGCATGAGGACGTGGAATAAATTGATGTCCACAGCCATGCCAATGCCTGTCAGCTAAGAGAGCCATGTGTTAGCACCTTGCTCGGCAGAGAAAAGCCATTTAAGCTGCTCCAAAACAGCTAAACAGCCTGGGAAGGGATGCTGCACCCAGAGTCTTGGGAGACAGTGGCCACCAGAAGCAGCTGCCAGGGAGTTCATCACCCGCAAAGTCTCCAGGAAGGTGAGCCCTGGGAACCCACTCGTACATGTTGTCCCATAGCTCGAGCTGTGTGTGTTGGGTTATGGCATCTGTCACATGCACTGCACGCATATTTCACACCACTGAAGTTCTCCACTAATACAGCAAGCAAAACTGAAAACCTTGGTGCTCCAGAGAGATACCCCATAAACACACAGTGAATAGCGAAAAAACTGGAGTGAGGAAGGCAAGTTTTTGGCTCTCAGATGCATGGCACTGCCACATTTTGGGGTATAGAGTTAGTGAAACGGTGCCTTATTTCCAGCAGTGAAGGGGCAGCCTCTCTGTGTTCGCCTCAACTATTTTTGCTTGGCTTCTTTCTTCCAAGAAAGAACAGAAAAAAACATACTTGAAATTGTCCTGATTTCAACTTCGAGACAATAATAACGAGCATAGTAAGAAAATACTTCATTGAACAAACTGCTTTATGCGGAATAGAAAAAAATCATTCTAATATTGAAGAAACCACTGTTCTGTATTACAGCATCTACCTAATCTACTATAGATGCCCAAGCATTAAGCTTTCCATTTACTTTTCCAGAGGGGTGAAATAGGCAGAATTTCGCTGCCAGCTGTGGCAATTTGGACTAGGAATTTCCAGATAATGTTCTACTTAGAGCATTTTACATTAATTGCTCATTTAAATTTGAAATTTAGAATTGACACAGTCAAGTTAGATACAAGTAATTTCTCTCTTCAAATACATCAAGCCTTAAGGCTTGCTAACCACTGAGAAGTTCTCAATGACATACATGTTTTCCAAATACTAACTCAACTCTTCTTGTCTTTCCTTTTTCCTCCATTTCTTCAAAATAAGAGTTATTCTTTCCTTATTTCTCAAGAACTCAACCATCTCCCTCCCTTCCAAATTAATCTATGTTATGCTAGAGCTTTTCCTTCCCAGCTAACATGTCTTTGGATGGCCAAGAACAGTGAGCTATGTTATTAATTCTTCATTAGAGAGGAAAGGACCAAATGTTCCTGAAATTTTTATTAAACCTTTCTCACCTTATATTTAACAGTAACTCATAGGAGTGCCATCAAAAGACATTCCCAGCATGCTTACCATACAGCTGTCAATTCACAAGGAAGTCACCATTAATTGTTACTGTTATTAATTGCAACTGGTTCTAACAGCAAGACAGAATGCATCTCAGAGCAGAAAGCTGGAGAAAGTCTCCAGTTCTTGAAACTGGGATTTGACATCCTCACGTATGCATGTCGTAAAATACAAGATGAACCAGTACATTATAACTTGGTAATCTAAGGGTGAGTCTCAAAGATACTTTGTTTTGGCCTAAGGGCCCTGGTGCTGGATGCCATCAGTAGGAAAACCCATTCAGTAGGAACATCTGGACTCATGTACGGTCCTTTTGCAAATCCCTCTCAACACATATATCCAGGCTACTGGTTTTTCTGAAAACCTGAGGTTCTCTGAATGGAGAGAGGAGTGTCATAAAGACACGTTGAGAAGGTTTCAGCTTCAGTAGGAGGAGGAAGCTGACTACTGACCGTCCTGCAGATTTATGGAGGAAGTCCCACTGCAGACATTATGCACATCACAGCTCACCTCTGCTTCCTGGAAGAATTTTGTGTCCCACTAATGACTGTGCTTTAACTACACCGAAATTCTTGAAACAGGAACTATTTTTATAGCAGAATTTTTATAATGTTACATTAATCTGTTGGCTTTCTATGTAAATGTCCAGATTTGCATATTTTTATAAGGTTATAGGAGTTAATCATGGCCCCTGAGTACGTCAGTGTTTTACAGGAGAGAAAAGCAAAAGGACACATCTCTTAGGGCACTGGTGTCCCAAGCCAGATAGGAATTTGCATCAGGTAGGAGATGAAAGAAAAGGCAAGAAGAAATCAAGGGCGATCTGGCTCCAGACCTCTGCCTTTCCAGAGATTTTTCTTGGGATCTCAGACACGTAATTTAATCTTCTAGCATTCCCTAAAATATGAAATCACTGAAATAAGAGTGCCCTAGCTGACATAAATATTGCAAACAAACATTTTCAGTTGTACAAAGACACGGTAATAGAAACTGTGCACAAGACTATTGGCAAATGATCCCTTTTCAATCGAAAAGTGCACAAAAATAGCAAAGTGAGTTCATAACATATTTATTTATTTATTTTAATTAGTCGAACCAGTAATTCTGCTTAATTAAATCAGCCATGTAAACAACAAACAGCCATAAATTGAGTTGCATCTACACTAAAGGGCAATTCTAAAAACGTTTTCACGCAACTCCTACTCTAAACCCTGCATCTCACTGCAAACATACCTGACAGCCATCTCCAAGAGAAGGCAGATGCTATGGTAACTGCATCTCTGTCATACAAACTGGCTTGTTTTGGTTCTCTCTAAGCTGTTTTGTTTTTGTTGTTGTTTTTGTGGTATTAAAGATTTTTAACACCTATAAGTAAAACAGGTCTTTGGCTGTTATTTTTCTTTATGTTTCAAAAGGGCAAGTGGGCTTAAATGAGATCAGTTAGCCACCAGACTGACTGGTTTTATTGATCAAATTAGAACACCTGGCTGTTTGGGGACACCTGTGTATTCAAATAGGATTTTTTTGTTTTAAAACAACTTCTCACTGAAATCAGTGCATGAATTCCCACTACTTTAGTAAGGAGAAATAACTCTTAGAAAACAGAAATAAAACATTAGCCAAAAAGCCTTTAAATCAGCTCTGGATAAGAAGCTGAGATTACTCATATGAAAGATGTAACTTCAGGAATAAGCTTGAATGACAGGCAATCTGCTGCTGAGTAATTAAGATCTCTTTTTCATCATGCTGAGTTTCAGTTGGTGGCTGAACAGTTGGCAGGAGATGACAGAAGGTAGGAATACAGTTTTAGATTGGACAGACATCTGGGTCTGAAATGCAGAAGTCAACAGCACAAGGAAGACATCTGGACATGTATTTGCAGATGAAGTGACAGATAAGGCATAGGGAAAGATGAGCAACATAACATAGAAGTAATCGTGTGCAGTGGGACTGAAGGTCCTTCTCGTCTCTCTCCAACAGTGGATGTCTAAAAGAGCACCATAAACACTGGGCAGTCACGTGTGATTTGTCCCCTTAATAACTCACCCAGCCTTCAAGCACGTTTTCAGTTCAGGAGCTCTCTGAACTGAGTGTGCTTTCTACACACTTGGTTAGTCCTCAGTGGATTTCTCTTCAATGAGCTTCTCCAGTCTCATCTCAATCCCAGGGACTTTTATTACTCAGCTCATTCTTTGGCTCCACAACCAACATCCCATCGAGGGAGAAATCAGCAGAGTAATGAAAGACCAAGCATACTTGCACATACTTGCACAGAACAAGACTGTCTGGCCCTGAATAAGACAGAAAAACACTACTGCAAAGAACCAAGAGGAATATGAGCCAAGTCTCATTAAACTGTTCCTTGAAAGGTGCTGTGAGTACTTTTTATTTTTATTTTTTTAAGAAAATAATAAATTTTCTAAGATCAATGGTAAACTGTAAAAATAAAAATCAAGATTTGTAACATAGGCTAAAACTCATCAGCAGTTCATGACTGAAGTTTGCCAAGACAAGTGCTGGTATGAGACAAACCACATTTCAGAGAGCAAGCACTTGGCTCTCTACTAATTTGATTTTCCCAAAATATGAATGTTTGAAAAAGTTCAAGGGGCTGCAGTGTTGAAATGTTGAAGATGCCAGATTACTGGGCAAATGGCTAGATCCAAGCTGCATTTTTTTCTTCTGAATAAAATTTGCAATATTCAGTGACTATAATAATTTAATAATTCCTCTTTTGGCTTGCACAGCAGAAGAACGCAGCACATTATTAAAGCATCATGTCTTCAAAATTTTTTAAATGCAAACAAAGTACAGTGTTGTTCAACCTAACAAGAATCTTTTCCATTCTTGTGGGAATTGAATGTATCAGTTGCTGTAATCTATTTAGTTAAGAACAAGTCAACTTGGCTTAGTCTACAGGTGATGACTTGGTATAGATTCAGAAAAAGCTTTTCATTTAAGACCATAGGGTGACAAGTGTGAATAGTACCAATACTTAGAGGCCTCAGGGCAGCCCTTAGCATCCTCTGCCTTAATGGGAAAGCGTGGTTTTTGCAAGTTACAAGATAAGGAGGCTCCAAGACTCTGACCTAAAAGTCCAGGAATAAGAGCCCAAGTTATTCTGTCAATTTCAGCGAGTATCACAAAGGGGATCTGGAAGCTCAAGGGGAACATTTCAGCAACTTCACATACTCTCCATTACTTGTACAAGTATTATTTTACATACAGATCATTATTTTCATGCTGAATCTGAGTTACAATTTCATAAAATAAGGCACAAGTAGGAATGCCAATAAAATTCAACAGGTTATGCAGTTAGATAACTGCAGCCTTCTGTAGTGGACTGTTGGAAAGATAGATTTTGGAAAAAGACAGGTGTATCTCTCCTACCTCATATTTTATATCTTACAATGTGTTGCACTTAATTCTTTCTCAGCCTATGCTCAGATTACACCAGTTGTTCTTGGTCTGACATCAATATTTCTTAACCTTATCTGCAGTTTTAATATTAAGCTCTCTCTTGCAAGCAAACATGAAAATAGATGCCTTTTAATAACTGCCCAAGTAGACTTGCAAATACATCATAGCAGGTCAGTAAGGTGCTATCTCCTCTCAAGAAAAGGAATGGGGGATATTAATGACATCACAACGCTCCCAAAAGCATGCCTACAGATTGGTCACTGTGACAGTAAGCAGGATTAAAGGGACATCTGCAGCAAAGCTTCTTATTGCAGCCCAATTGTTTCAGTGCCTGAGCTTCTCATGGAGAAGATATCAAACATACTCCACACTGCGCTCAGTGTCATGACATCAACTGCTCTGCATACCATCCCATTCTGCTCCACTGCTCCTACTTCAGCATGTTTTCCTGTCTCAAATACATCTGAAGTAAGCAGCAGACAAACATGGGTCCACCATGCTGTGTACTGCTTGCATATTCACCTTACTTCTGGCAACAGCTTTAAACCAGAAGCAACTCCAAAACCTTAAGGAAGATTTATTAAGCCTTCCTACGTAGACACTAACTATAAAAGAAAAATAAAATATGACAGCAGATCAATCTTATCAATGTTAAATGCTAGGAATAAATAATCCCACTCAGTTTCTCACCTGTGGAAGGATAATGTAGCCTGTCTTCTGCAGAATGGTCCTTCACGAAAGGCAGAGATGACACGAAGGAATTCCCTTCTCTTTCACAAATCTTACTTCTTAGCCTCTCAAAGAGTGAAAGACTACCCTTCTGTGCAGAGTCATACAGGCTGTCCTTACGGGTGTTCCAGGGTTCCCGAGATGAAGCAAGAGGGTACTTTTCATTACTGATTAATACATCATCCTTGGGAGCTACTGAAGGAGTTTCATTAAAAGTAAACTTTTCTAGGAGTCCTGGGACATCCTCTATTCTAGTGCAAGTTGGTTTCTGAGGTATACTAGGGGTCTTGGAAGGCCTGCTGTGAGCACTGTAGACTGGGAAGGACGCCTGCTTAGTGTAACCACTCAGAGATCTCTCTTCAGAACTGGCAGAAAACTTAGAAGCACTTGAGAGAAGGCTTCCACATCCTAAATGTTCTCCTGCCTGCTTCCCTACTTGAAGCTCCTGTGGCTGACTGTTACTTGCTCTGTTGTTGTTAGTGTTCCTATGGCCAAGAATACTAGGGAAGCTGAAGAAAGCTTGTTCTGAAGAGGCTTTGGTTTTGCTGTCTGAATCCTGCTTTAGTCCTTCTGGAGATGAAGTTAGAGGTTCCAAAATGGACCTCCTGATCGCATTGGCAATGAGCCTCAGTGGTGATTTTGGCCTGCCAGCTGAATGCTCCTTGGCAGTTTTGTCTGGACTCCTCAAAGCATCTTTCCTGTCAACTGGCAAAGCTGGTGGCACATCATCTGCAAATAAGAGAGGCACAGGACAACCAGATGGCTTGAAAACACCTCTTCTCCATTCAGTATCCTTCTCCTTTGAAATCCCCAGCATTTTTTTGTTTTGACACTGCAGGGTGGTTCCACCTAAGTACACCCCATTTGAATCATACATGGGTTGCTGTTCTGTGTGAAGAACCAGCCTTTTCTTTGCTTCCTTTAGCTCTTGCTCAAGCTTTTCTTCTGGGTGCCTTGTATTTTTCTCATCTTTGTCTTTCAGATGCAGAGATGACATCACTTTTGTATTCCCATTAAAATCTTCTGATTCAGAGGTGTAATTCTTTTTTACTTCATTCCAGCCCTGGCCTGTATATGTCCCAGTGTCACCACCTATATCTTCATGCTCAGAAAAACCAGCAGCCCATGCCCCATTCCTAGGAGAGATCTGTGGAGAACCTTTGACCTTGCTCTGAAATGGACAGTGAGGCACTTGGGGATGGATATCTCGAGGCCTCTCTCTGGCTTTTCTTTGAAATTCAGGGCTGTAGGGTTTGACATGTCCCTTCGTAACTTCTGGTGGTTTCTTGTAAGAAGTCAACTGTCAAATGCATGAACAAATATAATTGTGCATCTTTTATGTAATACTTTAATCAATGTCAATCTTAACACAATACTAGAAATTAATTTTCATGTTTACTGTGTACATCCACTTACAAACATATGTAAATGACAATAAACTAAGAAAAAAGGTTTTTTTTTTCATAAAAGAATAATATTTCTCTAAGAGTGGAGAACTAATACTCTACTGGGAGATTTAATAGCCTACAAATAATGTAATTCATCTTAAAAATCTGCCATCTCTTTATGAATTGCCTTTAATGTTTTTCTTGGAAAGAAAGAGACCAAAATATGAGAAAATAACCAAAAGTGAATCTGCTCTATTCTCCTGTGTGCATTTCTGTTGCATCATGTTAGAATTTACAGAAAGTGCATGCAGCCATAATCCATTCTCTCCATCTGCTTTTATAATACTGCATACTCAGATAATGCAGGTTGGAATGAATGAAGCGACCCAGAAATAACTGTAAAATGTAAGATGGTTGTTTAAACAATTCAATTAGTTTTCTTTTATGATGATTTTTCTTTTGGTTAAGACTTAAATTCATTATTCCAAGCACTGAAATCTTCTGCTGTAAATAGTAACAAGAATAAGTGTCTACTCTACCAAGCCAAAAGACCAATTGTAGAGATTTTTTAAACTTTTTAAAAGTGGGGCATTTTATCCACAATGCTGTATGATAACTATTGGCTAGAATATTTAATGTCTGTTTCCACTTCTGTGCCAGACTCCCAAATTCACATGGGTAAAGCCAATAATCAGACTTCTCAATTCCTAGAAGCATAGGAAGATAACAGTGACTACCCCTTACTTCACAGCTGTGCTTGATGACTGAAATGAACATTGGCCAGGATCTCAGATAAAGATGTTATAAACAACAATAAACACATAAACACCTTCTTAAATTCTTTTGTAAGAGCAAGACAAAGGCTTTCAAGTACTGCATAACGAGTGCAAGCTGCAGCATGGTCTCACCCCTCCTTGTGAACAGCGACCAGACAGCATTGTTCTGTTCTGCTCTCCTGGGACATTTCCTTCTTGGCCCTATTATCCTAGACCAGAATACAGCTAGCACCATGGATGTGGAAGACTTGATTTTTTTTTTGTAATGCAGAGCCTGAGGTGAAGCAATTCCAATCACTTCTGACCCAAGAGCAAGGACATCAGGCTAGGACACAGAGGACGTGGCCTGGCTCCAAGTTGTGAGTGGGGCTGACTGTGCTCTGCTTAGGACTGTTGGTCACTACTGCTGCTGCAGTGCCATACTTGCAACAGGCCCACCTTTCCTCATCCTTTAAAAAAAAAAAAAAAAGCAGAAAAAAGCAGAAAATACAAAGAGTACCCTAAGCCTTGAAGTAAGATGAAGATGCTGTGAGAGGTATGGAGTCAAGTGCCTACTGCAAATTAGGAAAAGGCATCTTCTGCCCAACGGATGCAAGCAGTAAACATTAGAGATGGGCACACTAAGGGCTAAAATACCACACTAAAATACCCCTGTTTTCAGGGCTAGGTTCCCCTGGCCAGCACTGTGTAAGCCCTTATTTGGTGTCTTACAATGGTTCTCAGGTCCAACCTACCAGATCAGCTCTGCCTCCCAGCAGAGAGACAAATCAATGGAGGTGACATTTAAGTGACCTGGGAGTGATACCATTTTACCTCCTTGCTGCTGACATACAGTTTTGGCCAACATGCACCACGTGAAGAACCACTTCCTATCCAGACCTAGGAGACTGTACACAGACCAACAGCCAGCTCCAGTGCATTGAGGATCAGAGATTTGGGGTTTGCTCTTTGGGAGCACAAAACAAATCTCAGTGGCAACTAAATCATGTGCTGTGAGAGAAGGGCAAGTTGGTGATGCCTACGTGTTGGCTGACATAATAACACATTTGTATTCAAACCTCAGGACAATCCAAGTCTTACACAGGAAGAAAAAGTGACTTTGTCACATGATTTGGGAATGGTTATATCAATCAGAGCATCAAAATCTGTGTATAACAAAAGTATAACTCCAACTTTAGCTGCAGACCAAAACTATCTGAAATAGCAGAGAACATTCAGCCTGCTGAAAGCAAATGTCCTAAGAGTAGTTAGGGTTGTGCTGCTCTGTTCACTTCTCCTTACCTGTGCTTGGGGGTGATCCTCTCCAAGATTGCTTTGACAGCTGGCTGAGCTGTCCTTCCACCGTAGCCCAGGCTTCTTGTTAGACAGCAGAGGGAAATCTGCCAAAGACACACATTTTTACCTTTGTATTCGTATTATTTTTGTCTTAAATAAAGTTCACAACTAAAGAATGACAGTAAAAAGTTAAAGAGTCATCTGGATACAGTTTTACCCTGCAGAGCTGACCAACAGTAATCAAGTTTATAGCCTCTCTAGCATATGTGTGCACACTATGCATAATGCACGCTGACATTTGCAGCAACAAACCTGATTTTTTCTACTTTTTGTCTGAATGAAGTGAAACAGCTTTTGAGTAACGGGAAACTTTCTTCTAAAAGTCAGCTCTCTTAAAAAAGCTTTCAGACATTCAAAACAGAGGCAATCAAAACAACCAGCTACTTCTGAAGCCTTGGTTAGTTCTGAGAAACAAAGAAAAGTAGGTAAGTTCTGAGAGGGATGGCCATCTGAACACAAAAGACACGAGAAAGGCAATCACCTACAAGCAGTAAGGACGGAAAAAATTCTTCAGTCTCTTAAGTCAGGCCAAAGGGCAGCATGCCGGCTCTTCTAGGATGAGGCAGAATAATTAACTGGAACCAAAACTGTCACTGGAAGAAGCAGCAGGTAAGTAACTTGCATCTGAATGGAGTCAGCAGATCTAATATTTGTGTGTGTGAGAAACGGACATAATAAATAGCCTTGGGATGATAGAAAAGTAAGGCTGAGCCAAGATAAAACCACGTCAAGTTTTGACGTGACAAGTGTATTTATAGCTGAATTATTAACTCCAGAAACCCAGCTATTAGTTCTGAAACAAAGGCTCCCAGTACAAACACTGGTTCTTCTATATAGAAATTAAAAGCTACAACAGGGCAAAAACAACACACAGGACACTGTTCCTGCATATGGACTTCAGAAAAGGGAAGCCAGGGAAATAGCCCAAATTTCCTCTCCTCTTGGTGTTTCAGCTGTATGTTCCCAATCTTGATGCAAGTTGTTAATGCTCGGTCAACAAGTGAGAGAGATGGTGAGCTGGAGTTCATTAAAACACCCCCATAGGGACCAGCAACAAGGGGCTGAACTGAGACAAATCCAGCTTTTGTCACCCAATTAAAAAGGACACCACAACTGCGATCTGCGGCCAGTCTTGCCATATCTTTTTGCAATGAGTTTTCCAGATGGGGGAAAAAGGAAAAGAAAAAAGGGGAAACAGACCTTTCAAATAATTTCAGATATTCACAGCCCAGTAGTGGTATTCTAAAAAAACACTAACAAAACTTGGGCTCCTCCATTTTCACTTTCACAGACTATCTCATCCCACCCCAGTTCTTACTTTCCACTAACAACATGATTTCCTTTCCCTTCACCACATGTCCCAGGACATCTGCAGATCTGTTACCTTCCTGCCCCATTCAGCTCTGCAGACCGATGGAGATCTTCCTGCAGTTCCTAGGCTTGCCCTAACCAGGGATGTCCTCCCCTGGGTCTCCCCAAGGCACTTGGTTGTGAGATTGGAGAAAGATGCTGCACCCCAGCACGGCTTTTCCATTACCACATATAACAGAGGAAATAGCTTTTCTCCTTTCTGCAGCCCCAGGGCTCTGTGGGACAGCAGCACCTCCCATAGCAGCTCCTGCAGAGGTGCTTTAGTGAATGACAGGGCCTGTACATGTGAGAGTATCGCTTCACACAACGTCCCAGCTCATTCTTGTGCAGAGATAATTGACTTATTCCCAGTGACATGCTGAACCTACATTTGCAGCTTAACATTCAAAACATGATTTAAAAAAAAATAATAAATCAGTCTCTAGGGCATTACAAAAATCTGCTTGGCACAAAGGCTCCTCGCTGTGACCAAGATAACAAATGAGAGTGCAGCACTGTTTATGGATGCAAGATGGGGATTACAGATTTTGAAAGGTAATATCCTGTCCTGAATCTTTGGCCAGTATAGAAATGACACCAATTTCCTTTCCTTGGCGGCATACCTCATGCTGTTTATGAAACATATGTGTTTTGGGAAGTAAGTCTGAAAAAGAGACAGGTTTCTCTTTAATGTGACTGATGATCACACGAATTGTTGTAACTAAACATTAAGTGGATTAAATATAGAAACTATGACTTACAGTGTTCCTCCAGAGAGTAAAAAATTGCCTTTATTGTGTTCCCAGTATATGCGGAATGTACTTTACACCTCATTTTAAAAGCATACTGGAAGTTCAGACAAATTCATGTAGCTTGTAGCTTTCCTCTCAAAGACTTCTGGCTCCCCCTAGAGCCCTTCGGAGGCACAAGATGTTTAAATAAAACAACGGGGAAAAAAAAAATGGCAAAAAAACCCAACCCAAAGTAATACGGTTATTGACAAGCTGAAAATGAATCAAAATGATGAATCAAATAATGAATGAGTCGCTCTCAGGGAGCAAGTCCTTCCCCCTGCCTGAGAGGTGCAGTTAATCCCAGGGAACACAGCCCAATCCTGGTTTTTCTGTTTGTCCTTCTGCCACAGCTGCCTCTCTGAGGACAGCCTGTTGGGAGGGGTGTTGAGCTTGGTGGGAGTACCTTCTTGAGATCATGAAATAGTCCCCTGAGCCATCTGCTGAGATTTAGTGAGTTATCCCAGACATGTGGCACCAAAAGGACCAGGAGGTCTGCAGTGGCAGCATTTATGTGCAGCTGAAGGTATCAGACATTGTTGTGAAGCTGGTGCCAGGACAGGAGAGATATATCTTGCCTTTTTTTTTTTTTTTTGAGATGTAAAGTTCTTCCCACACTGGATGCCTGCAGATTATCTGTTTTATACTTCAGGTTGTCAGCACTCCAGTCTAACAGACAGAATTGTTTTAGGAGATGTTGGTAAATGCACCCAGCTCCCATGCCAGTATCAGCAGTCCTGCAGGTAGAAGAGCTGCACTGAGGCAGCTGGCTGGCCCTGCTACAAGCAGCAGTGGTTTGACTGGGGAGGGCTGGGCAGCCCAGAAGGAAGATTGCTTAGACATAGCCCTGGATGCAAGGAGTGACTGCCCTGAGATTCAGAGGTGAATTGAAGACAGACCCGATTGCTACTGAACTCAGTGTGTTCCTGTTTGAGTGCCATGGGCACAGAAGGTTCAGCCCAAATCACACAGAACTGTCAGAAGAGAACCAGTAATGCTGGTTACTTAATTACCTGGGTGCTACAGTGGTAAATGAATAGGAGTGTAATATGAATTAGATATGGACAGATAAATGATCACACAGAATCACAGAATCACAGAATTGCCAGGGTTGGAAGGGACCTCAAGGATCATGAATCTCCAACCCCCCTGCCACATGTGTGGATTCCCTTATTAGTCATAAAGACAGAAGTAATCACACAAAAGGGGAATTTGATCTTTTCAGGACAAGAAAGTGGGAATAAAGTATTTGTTGAGTTTTAGTCTAGTCTCCTCACCTTGCAACTCCAATCCACAATTTTTAAAGGAAAGGAGATGGAGAACCAGACATTTATGAGGAAGGATACAGGATGCAGTGCAAGTAAAAAGCAATTGCTTCGTAGGCTGTACTTACTCGTTTGGATTTTTCTCCTCCAACTCTGATACTTATTCAAGGCAGTGGAGTGGAAGCTGTTGGCTCTCTGTAGCGCTAAACAGAAGCAGAAAAGAAACATCAACTCACCCCAGCACGGGGTCGGCCGGCAGGGGGCACTGCGGGGCTGGAAAGGGCCTCGGTGCGCGGGGCCACGGGAGCCTCTGCCCTCGAAACAAGGCCTCCTTATTCAGGGGTCAATTTAAAATGCCGTGCAAAATCCCCTCTTATTTGGTTCAGTTAAAAATGCACATACGGGGGTGGTGGGAGGCGGGAAGGAATGAATGCTGATGGCCCTTCACTGCACTAAAAATCATTTTCCAGCTCTTCCATCACAGCAGAAGGCTCCTCACACAAAGGAGGAAGCCTTTGAGGGCTGCCCAAAGCCCTGGACAACGAGTCAGAGGACCTGGATGCTTGAGCACCGCATGCACCTCTGGTATAAAAACCCACCAGGGATGCTGAGTGTTTAACATAGCTCTTTCATTTTAAACACACAGTTAAGTCAGAATCACCACTGCTCAGGAACATAGATAAAAGTTGATTTCACAATAGCCTTTTCCACATGGAAAAGAGCAATAACACCAAATGCAATTAACAAACCCCAAGCCCCATCAAGTTTCTCAGGGTCCCAGTCATGAGCTATCAGTGCATGGGATGACCTGACAATACGGACCTAAGGCTGGAGGACTGGGGGAAGGTCCCCCAAACCAGTTCCCCTGGGTACAACTGCATGTGCTGACTGGAGAGCTGCTCCCCTGCTCCATCCCCCATACATTGCACCAGCACAGCCGCCCTTGCCCCAAAGTGCTGGACAGCCCTAGGGCAGGTCTGTGCCCATGCACCGCTGCTGCCAACTCAGCCACTCCTGGGGGATCAGAACAGCAGTGTGTGAACCTGGCAGAGCTCTGGAGGCACCTTCTGAAGCAGCAGGTTCTCCACAGATCCAGCACATCATCACGAGGCCCTAAAACATGGCAGTCCTTGCCATGGAGGCCTGACTTCCAGCTCCAGAAAGGAGTTTTCCCCTGGAAGCAGACTGCCCCTAAACCTCTCAACTGCCTCCCCACCAGTTCTATTCTTTCCTCAGTGTGTTTTCTGTGCACACAAATAGTTCAAGCAGCTATATATAAACATAAATGAATCAAACAGAGCAGAGCTCTCCAGTGCTTCCAAAAATTGCCCTTGCTTAGTTAATGCCACAGATATGGCGTAGGCTACTAAAAACACCCCAAGGTCTTACCAGGCAGAGAGTGCTCACCACCCCACAGGCTGGGTGTGAGGTGCTACTGCCTCAGGTGTCCCAGGAGCACTGTGTTTAGTGGTGCCTCGCAGCAAACTGTATGTGTTTGGGTGCAACTCAACCAAAAGAAACGTTAGGATTCAACCGATGAGTAAAGAAGAAAGGAATGTGCAGAACAGTTAGAGCACCCAAAAGGGAGAAATCCTCCAAAGTGAAGACATCATTAAAGAATACAACCTGACCACATCTGGCAGCAGCTTCTCCTTCACAATCTCTCCCTTCAACCCTGATTTCAGCTCCCCAGGTGTGGGAGATGCCACTTACCATCAATGACTTTGGATGCCCTGTGACTTTCCTCTGGTGCCATGGGGCTCCTGGCAAGCAACGTCCAGCGGCGTGGGGGGCTTGGGCAGGCAGGGGGCTCCAGCAACGAGGTCTGTCCTTCACCCACCTCAGAGCTGGAGGAGTTGCCATTAAAATCAGATTCCCCCTCAGAGCTAGGGAGAAGAGGACAAGAAATGAAGAGAGCAGGGCAGTTCAAAAGGCACACTGAATGCAGGTGTTCATTTCCCCTTCTGTGCAACATGCACCAGCATCAGCACTGACAACTGTGTGGTCTGTAGAGAAGTAGAGGTTTTACAGTCAGAGCTGGCATCTTAATTTTGCATTTTTTTTGTTGTTATTACTGCAGCCCTGTAGTTTACTGTGGATGCAACACAGCTGACAAATCCATGCTCCCACAACTTCTCTGCTATCCAGATTCAGACTCATGACTGCTGCATTCAGCAAAGAACCTGGAATTCACCTGCTGCAGACAGCCTTGGCTTCAGTACATCAGTTAGCCGTGGGACAGCACAGCAAGTGCAAGGAGTGGCCAGAGGTGAACATAATTAAAAGTATGCCACACAAACACCCAGAGTGACACACACATTGTGACCTTGCCTCTGGGTAGCAGAATGACCTTTGCAGTTAGTTATTAGTCTTTTTTTTTCTCCAGTAATAAGGGAATTTCTTTAATCTCTCAAAGCCAAATTTTAGGGAGTGTGCACTTTCAGGCCTTCTGATGTTGCCACAATTCCACCACTATAAATAAGTGTGCCACCATGCAATTCAGCTTATTTTTAATGAAAACAATACTGCTAAGTTAATTCTTAGGTTTATTGTGATGACTAGTAGTTCCACTTGAAAAAGAAGAGCTCATGCCCTCTTATATTAGCATGATGGGAGAAAGCTGTTTCATATTTATGCAGCATTCACTGCCTTGTAGAAAGTAAAGATTAATTACAACAGCCCCAGGACAGAGCCCACACAACAAAGGAAGATGTGCTAAAGGAAGGGCTGTGGATGGAACAAAACCTCTGTGGTTGGCTCAAGCTAGGCAGCAATTTCTGTTAACTTGAGACTGTGTGACCCATGACCAGTTCAGATATTGGCTGCAGACAGCCTGAAGCTGACGTATACACGGTATACATAGCAGCAGCCAGCCCTGTACACCTGCTTCATGCAGATCCAACTGGCATGGAGAGAGCTGAAGGGTTAGCAAGTTCCCTGTGATGGTTATACTATATACAATTAAATACATGTTATATACCTATATTTATATATGAATAAGTGTGCATATATATATGTATGTCTTTGATAGTTGAGATTGCAAGATAGTACACTGCGACTGGGCAGAGCACCACACAAAAGAAAAAGACATGCAACGAATACTGATAGGTACATTTCTATTTTAAAGAGCAAAACATCTATTTCCCTTGGCTGGCAAGGATGTAAGTGCAGTAGGGTGAAGCTCGTCCTTTGAGCTCTGCTTGATAGGCAGTCATTATCCACAAACACTAAAGCTTGAACTGAAAGCTGTTCGATGAAAGCCGGTCATTTTTCTGGCTACATACTCTGTCAGACCTTGCAATGCTATTTGTCACTTGCTATTTCACTCGCTCGACCTTTTTAGGCAATGGCTCGCTGGCTGGAGCAGTAAGAGCACATGGTCCCTGAAGGCAGGGCAGGAGGCTGATCTCAGGGGTTCTGACACACACGGTTCCAGTGACAACAGCAGTGTCACCCTGGACAGGAACCAGGGGCCTCTCTGCAAGCACAGGACTGTCACAGCTGGAGGAAAAGGAGCTGATCCCTCAGATCAGGGAGATTAGCTGGCTCCCCTCTCTTCGTGCTGCTCATGTGTGAGACACCAACAGCCTCAGGGTATTAATGTGGACACAATCAGACATGCTGCAGCAAGATCTGTCCAATAGGCAGAAAACTCTATCCTGAGCTTCCATTTCCCTGTGGAAAGAGACTCCAGCAGAGATTAATCCTGTCCCTAAAGAACAACCTGATGCACAGCAGAGCACTAATATCATTTCAGACTCCCACATAGAACAGAAGAAAGCTTCATTTTTAAAGATGTTGCCCTCAACAACCCATACACACTACCATGAGTGAGTGTTTAAAGGTCTTCAAGATTTGGAGCGATCTTCCTCACAGAGTAATGGCTCTGTTTGCAACTCAAATAGCTTTGGGTTTGCTTTGTTGTTTTTTTCTTTAATTGTCAGTAAGGAAAACTACTTTACTTGGAAGATACCAGTCTAATCTTTACTACATCAAGAGCAAACTCCCAAAGAATCCTGTCCAGAATGCCAGTATATCACTGTTCTTAAATAGAAATCAGACTTCCTTTGACAGCTCTTGGAGAGCCGTCAGATTTCAGATGTCTTAGGGGTGGGCAGGCCATCAGATACCCAGAGAGGTACTGAGGCTGCAGGCTGGTGGTACCCAGGTAGCAGGAGACTGTGCTTGCAGGATGCACCTTTGCCACAGCACAGCCTGATCTCTGAAGATTTTGGAAAAAAATAGCTGAACCCGAGATGATTGGGGTAATGTTTTTCTCTCTGACTCAGGCCCTTGTGTGGGATGCAAATGTTTGAATATTTCCTGCAAAATGAGTCATATGTCTGGTGGGATTTATGGCTGTGGTAAAGAACAATTGTTTT